TACACTAACGGTCGACACAAGGGTGTGTGTGCGACTTGGCCCGTGACCTCAAGTCGCGGCCAAAGTCGCGTGAATCACATGTGATTTGACCGTTTTCTTATTCTCTTATTTAGTTACTGTTCTCGTATGAACCTGACTCTCTCTCTATATAATATATATATCTCAATGTAGACAAACCTATTGGAAAGCATATTGATGAAAGACTATGGAGGGGTCGAGGATTTGCTTCTTGCGGAGCTGCAATTTGCTTTTGTTGCATTTTTGGTACGAACTTATCAGTATAGACTCAACATTCTTCCATTCTTGATAATTCTTTAAGACGCTGTTTTTATTGAAGGGAATCTGTGAACTTAAACTCCTTTAATGTGGCAGATGGGACAATCACTTGAAGCATTTCTTCAATGGAAAGCTTTTATTAACCTTCTATTTGGTTGTACCGAAGCTGTAAGTTCTTAGACCTTTGATGGGCTTTCATTTTGTTTTATATATGCTACTTGTGGATGCCGGAATGGTTTGTTACTTTCATTTCCATTTACTTGAAATAAATCATCTTCATGCTGGACTCTTTCTAATGATCTTGTCGTAACTTTTTTTCCTTTTCATCCTGAAGCCTCTCCACACGCGGAGTCATCTATTCACCAAGGTAATCTCATATGATTTTGACAAGGGAAAAGTGCATCAAAATGCAACAAAGTTTGTTTTAGTTCCTATTTAGTGTAACTTTTTTTTTCTCAATAGATGCGACAAGGTTTCAAAATTTTCTATTTTGTATTTTGACCGATAACCTGCTAATCTTGTAACATTTGATGACGTGGATACCCATCTAGTCATTTAAGGAATGTTTACAGAAGGTTTATGGCGAAGTGGACTATAAACTTGACATCCATGTCATTGAGTGTTACAAGATGAGCCTGGTCAAAATTGGTAAAAAATAGGAAATTTTGAAAATTTTGTTACATTGATTGCGGAAAAAATATTATTTGTTACACAAAAGAGGAACCAAGGAAAACATTGTTGCATTTTTCCCTTTTGACGACTAAGGGGCAGTTTGGCTGGTTTTCCATGAAGTCTTGTATGGATAAAGTTGTCTATGTGGATTAATCTGTCTATTTGGATCGGGAAGGTTTTTTCATAAATGGTAGGAGTGTGTTTTTTAATTGGGAGGGACAGGTTTGAAAAAAACTTGGTTTTTTGCATAAAGCTCCTCCCTAGAAGCTTACTGAATAAACCACTTTTTATATCATTAAGCCACTACCAAACAGTCATGTGTAGCTGATCGAATTAGCTGCGAGTCCCATTAAGCTTGTTAAGCTGCTAAGAAACAAGCTCTAAGGGTGTTATATCGTCTGCAATGCTGTTATTTCTTGTTATCCCTGCTGACATTTAAGTTTACATGTGTTTCCAGTTTATCAAGGTCCTCTATTATCAACTCAAATATGCATTTCATAAAGAACACACAGATACTAATGGTGCTGCCAAGGGGCCTCTGACGTTATTAGATGATTCCTTTCTATCTGCTGACAGTTTTCTTCAACACCTGTGCAAGGTATTCTAAATTATCGTTTGTTTTTATAATGATTCCAGTGTATTAAGCACTCAAGGATGATCTTTTTGAATCTTTTTTTTCTCTCTATCCAAATTGGTTGAGGCCATTGTGAAAGATTCCATTGGTCAGCACCTCCTCTTTGAGTGTCCCATAAAAATACCGCATTTTCCTTTTTGGCAAGTTTTACATGCTCCTTCTGGCCCAAAATAAGTGTCTACATTTCTATTTATGTTTGTCCCAAAATAAGTGTCTACTTTCAAAAGTAGATAATTAGATTTGAAAATCTATATGCGCAAATATTTAGGAGTGGATAAGATAGATATATTAATTAAGGTAAAATTGTCATTTGGTTAAGTAAAAAGTATAATAATTATTCATATCTAAAACTATGCCATTTTTATCGTGGACACTTATTTTGGGACGGAGGGAGTATTAAATTTCTACTTTAGTTTGTCCCAAAATAAGTGTCCACGTTTCTATTTTAGTTTGTCCCAAAATAAGTGCCCACTTTTCAATTCTACCCTTACTTATGAGATGCGAAATTCATTACTCCTAGGGTAAAATTGTTTGGTTAACTATAAACTGTATAATTACATATTTATAGAACTGTGTGCCTTTTTCATTATGGACATTTATTTTGGAACGGAGGGGGAGTATCTACCTATTATCGTTATTACAAATAAATTGATGGTATTGATTTGGGTACACAAAGTTACTCTATTTAGTATCTCGATGTGTTTTAGATGTTCGGCAAATAGTCAAACAATTTCCTTAAGCTATATGTTTATGTTGCAATTTTCATAGGATGGAGGGAGACTCTTAATTGATTTAAATTGTTTGATTGAATTTTTGCAGGAGTTCTTTTCACTTGTGTTTGAAGCCGAGGTTGTTGATGGCGACCTTTTGTCGTGGGTGAGTGAACATGGCCTTCTTGTAGACCTTTGCTATCCTCTATGGCTTGTGGCTTGCTAAGCTCGGAAGACTCAAGCTTGGGCTCGGCTTTTGAGAAGCTTGAGCCTTGGCTCAGTTCTTATAGGCTCGCATAAGTTCTACTCTTAGGGTCTGTTTGTTAGCAGCTTAATGAAACTCACAACTTATTTGATCAGCTATACATGACTTTTTGGTAGTGGCTTAATGATATAAAAAGTGACTTATTCAATAAGCTCAAAGGGGAGCTTTATGCAGAAAGCGAAGTTTTTTCTAAACCTGTCCCTTCCTTTTATAAAATACCCTCCATCTATGAAACAACCCTCCCAAACAAAACCTTCTCAGTCTATACGGACAAATTAATCTACAAATACAGATTAATCCAAACAGACAACTTTATCCATACAGGACTTAATGGAAACCAACGAAACAACCCTTTATTCTACTTGCTTACGGTTGGTTCGTATGGGATCTTATGTATATAAAATAGAACACTTTGTATAAAAAATTGCAAGCAAAAACCCATAAATGGCAAAAACTAGTGCCTTGAAAGTATATAAATTACACAATGTGGCTTGTATAATCTACCATTATGTGATTTCTAGAACGAGAGGTGAAGGTGAGTCATCTTGAAGCAATAATCTTTGGGCATGAGTATCAAGTCTATGATTTCTTTAAATATTCTTGAAGTTAACCGTTATCGTATGAAACGACACATACGGAATTCTAAATATCTTTGTATGTATAAATGTAGACAAGGAAACTGAAAGAATTGCTGGAGAGGTCTCTTGGGTGGGTTTTTCAGACGGAGAACATGGGAGATGGCATCTGTTATGACGAAGACGATGAGGTTAGTATGATATATATTAAAGTGCAAGCATGATTCCGCATCCTTTTCGATAAAACTTGTTTCTGTAAAAATTAGATCTCTACCCCTTTGGGGCAGGGGAAAGTTCTGCATACATCATAACCCACACCTCCAAGTGAGATGTACTGGGTACGTTTTGTTTGGTCCCATGATCTCTCATACTAGTATTTGTCTAGACGAACTTGGTAGTCACCCGATAACGTATGTGGGTCCCACCATGAGACAACCTTGAGTCCAACTCAATTGACGAATAAATGCTACGGATTAGGGGCTCCCTTTCATAATTCGTTAGTTCGAGTCTCCTTAGAGCCCACCGGGAATTTTCATGGTTTTCCTTGTTGTCTTTAGGGTCCCATGGGATTAGTCGAGGTGCACAAAAAGTTGGCCCAAACATCCATGATTACCCAAAAAAAAATTGTGTTCATAAGAGGATGGCACACTTGGGCTACCGATCAAACACACAACTCATTGGTGGGTCCCACTACGTTCACGAGGAGGTTGTATGCTAAATATCGCACTAGAAATCCTGCACGTTCATGTATCTTGCACATGAACTAACAACATTGTTTTCGCAGTTTGCTCCGGCGGTTGTGATGCTGGATGAGCCAAGTGACGGTTAATTTCCCGCTATGCTGTTAATTGCGGCGATATCTCGGATAGCGGTCCTTTGCAAAATATCGAATTTACCGCAATTTTGACCGATATTTAGAGTAAATTGTGTTCGATATTAACGTTAGGGATGAAGGGGGAGAGTGGGAAGCTAGCCTAAACGAAGAAGTGAACGTATTAGATGATGTTGACTCAGATGTTGAACCTATTGCTTACGATTGGCTCGTTTATGAACACTTTTACTATTTTGCAAATGATATGTTTATGTAGGCATATTGTATATATATAATTATATATAATTCTAAGAAATATTATATGAACCATTATTTTTGGACCGCTATTTTAAATATCGTTCCCGACTGTAATTTTGTATTTTCACCTCTATAACAGCATAGATTTCCGTCACTTAGATCTCAAGGTTCTTTTCAAGTTTTATCGGGTCAAGAAATCTTGGTGACAATTTCCTGGATATGATAGTGATTAAGATGGAACTTGTTTCATCTTTCTTAGTTACCATTGTCGTAAAATATGATGGTATTGATTTTGCTTTATAAAACTCACTATATCTTAACTTTTATCATAGGACCATATATAAATTGTAAAAATAAGAAAAAACAATGGGCAAATAAATGATTCATAAGAAATTCTATTTAAAGATTCGTATGTGAAAATGGGTTTACTTCATTACTTTTTTATACCAATTATTCATATATGAATGAAAGATGTATATAAACTCATGTTTTCTTACACGAGTAATATTCATATATGAATAATTTATTCTTACTTTGTCAATCTTTTGCAATGAATTCAATATCAACCCTTTGATTTACATGAAAACTTTCACAAGCCAGGAAGATGAGTGGACACTCTAATATTTTTGGAGATCCTGTTACACATAAGAGTTCAAACGAGAATATCTTCATTTTACGAGAACAAGAGAACATTCTTTTACCATAGACAATCACAGATGATAAACATGTGATACTAAATCAGAGATGTGGGACGATTTTCGATGCGATCTTGGTTGCGGGCCAAGTCGTCCTTACACCACTAATTAAGCCCTTCACAAGTATTATCACATTTGATAATGTTATTGTTAATATGATACTATAATCCATCAAAATCATCACATGTACAAGTACTGGTAGATTAAAAAGACATTTAAGACGCTAAATAAGTGCATGGTAATACTCGGTAAATATTTGAAAGAAGTGTAATTCTGAACTCCTCGTGAGACCATGCATGTAATTAATATGGACTGCGTCTGAATTTTGGCGTTGGTGGGTTTAACAATGTGACTACGGCGAACCAAAAGTCACAGTTCGCAAGAAAAAAATGGCGCCACGCTTCCCTCTGCTGCCATCCCTCTACAAAATCACCCAAACCTATTTCCGAACTCCAAACCCATATTTCAGATTACCAAATGCCCTACCCGATTCCCTCTTTGTCGTCGGCTCAAGAACCCCAACAAGTGGGTCGCCCTTCTCGTTTGCACAAGGTTAGCATATATCACTCTATTTTATCTTAAAGGTCGTTCTTTTTGCTGTCTTCATTTATGGGATTTATTTGTTTGGAAATCCCTTTGGAATCTTTTTGTTACGTGTTATGTTACTTTGCAATGTTGTCTTATGTAGTCCAGCCGTTTGTGAAAATGACTGACTGATTTGAGGACTTCAGGGCGAACTAGCCATGGGTCCAAATGAAGGATGACAATAGTCCTGAGAATTATGTTCACCTAAATGGTGGAAAGTATTAAGTTTCAGATTTTACTTGGATATATGCTAGTTCATCATATTACCGTTTCATCTCCTCCATGATCATCTTGTTCTCTGTGTTGCATTGTTCTTTGCTCTCTTTTATATTTTCTTTCTGGAAGCTTTTGAGATTCAAACTGATTTTGTCTAGAAAAGTTGTAGAACCCAGCTTAGACAACCATTCGCTCTTTCAGAGTATTGCAATAGTACATGAAGTTCCTGCTTCACTTTGTTGTTTGTCCGAGATTCTCTTCATTGAAATGTCTAAGTGGGATTTGGATAATGTTCTGCAGCATCTCGATCATATGCTAGAGGTAGACAACCTCATTATGATCTGTTTGGCAATGGAAAGCCTGGAGACAAGAAATTCCGAGAAGCATGGGGAAAAGAGATCGATGAAGATGATTGTCTGTGGACAGGAAGCGAAGATGAAAGCGATACAGAAAAGCGTAAAAAACATCTTGATGAAGAGATCAAGAAAGTGAAACAACAAGCAAAGGATCACTCAGATCTTATTGATGGTGATGATAGTGATGAGTTAAGGAGTGTATGGTCTGGCAGTGATGAAGAGAAAACACTCTGGACTGGTAGTGAAGGTGATGATGATGACGACATTCCTACAGACCCCTATCCTAATGAGAAAAGTGATGCATATCTTGATAAATTATTCGAATTTGAGGAAAAACCGAAATATAGGACCCTCTCGGAGCTATTAAAATCTGAGGAGGAACCAGAAGAATTATCCCCGGGAAAGCAAGCTAGAAAACTTGCAGTTGAGAATGCTTTGAAAAAACTAAAGAAGGGACCCGATGGGCGTTACACAAATGTGTGGGAGGTGATGAGTGATTTGGATATTCTTATAGGGGCGTTTGAAAATATTGTTTCTGGACCTGAATATGAAGAGCTTCGAAAGGGAGGACCAAAGAAGCTGAACATGGAGTTCTTTAAGGACATTCAAGCACGAATGAGAGACCCTAATTATAAGTTCTCACCTGAGTTGAAGCTGAAACCTAAGAGCAGAGTGGTACCCAGAAAGAAATGGCAAAAGGCACAGTCCAGACGTAGGAAAGCACAGAAGCGTTAAGGTTCTGTTCTTTATTCTGCTGGCACTCTTACAAGTTTAACTGTATATTATCAGTATCTTATGATCTGTTTCAATTTAATCTGCATGGTCCGTTTTCATTTTTGTTGGAATTAGGTCATGAAATCTATATTTCACCGGTATTCTGTGCTTCAATTACCTGAGCAAAGACTCTGACACAGTGGGATAGCCGTGGGGAATTAAGGGTGCGACTTGAATCTAATACTAGGACCGGAGATGTGATGGCCAATACTAACGGTCCTAATCTTTAAGTGTTTGACTTAGAGTTCGACTTAAGGACCGAGGACTGATTAAAGTCCGGATCCAGACCAGAACCGGTTAAATTTTGACCAGTTGTAACTGGTTGGTCCCCATAAGACAATTTTTTTTTTTGTTATAGACCGGTTAAAGGAGTGGTCAGTTCCTACCAAACCATTTTGACATCCTTAAAATGTATAAATCGGTTGTTGCTGTTGAGAGTGTTTGTAAACAAGTTTCTACAAGTGCCCTCAGAGTGTGATGATTCGCAATTTCGACCTAATTTTGTGTTCTTTCTGTGTGTTCAATACTATTTCTTGTTCCAATAATCTGCATGTTTGATATTATTTTGTGTTCCATATTATTTCACTTTCTTAAGAGACGTCACACTTTTCCAACTCAACGTTGGTTCTCAAGTGGGGTCCTCGGTTCTAATCATGTCGTCAAAGTAATCGTCAACCATTGTTGAAAACCACCCATTTGTCAACATTACAATCTGGCAATTTCAAGAACACCAAGTGTATGAAAGATTCTTGTGAATAGTTCCAGTATCCCGAATAGGTTGAATGATGAAATGGACTATTTAGACATCTGGACATTTCTTATATTTATTACCCGATTTTGGGACAAATTCTTGACAATTCAAACAATGACGAATGACCTACGAATTTGGACAAATTGGGAATTGGATTGATAAACAAAGAAACGAACAAATGTATATTGAGGATAAGTCGATTAATAGTTGTTACTTGTTGAAAATTGTAGGAAAGATCCGAGACGTTTAAAAGTGCTTTAAGCAATGAGACTAGCCGATGTGAGTTTTCATGATCTATACGTAAAAGAGATAAATGTAAAAGTACAATATTTTATATTCATGCAACTAATGTTATATATACATATGTTATGTTATGAAATGTGTAAGCATGAATATTTTTAAGATATGCATGAAATGTTTTGTTGGTCCACCTTTGGGTCACAACACAATGTTCAAAGATAAGGGGCGGGGTAACCAAAGGTGGACCTCGGAATGTTTTTATATGGTGGCACCATTTGACTATAAGAAACAAAGAAGATGTTTGTTTGGTTTTCTATGAAGTCCTATATAGGTAAAGTTGTCTATGTCGATTATCTGTCTGAATAAATTGCGAATTTTTTTGTTTGGGAAGGTTTTTTCATAGATGGAAGGAACTTATTTTATAATTATGAGGGGCATGTTTGGAAAAAACTTGACTTTCTGCATAAAACTCCCCCTTTGAAGCTCACTGAATAAGCCATTTTCTATATCATTTTCTATACCAAACAATCATTTATAGCCGACCAAATAAGCTGTGAGTCTCATTAAGCTGTTAACAAATATGCCCAAAGCAATCAATATTTTTCACAACATCATCATTGGTTTCTTCCTTGCCTTGTGTATGCGAGGTCCAGTGTTGGCTTTTTATAGCTTTTTATCTCAATTCTTTCCAAAATCACAATGAACTCGAATTAAAACTAAAAACTGGGAAATTTTGGTACACACTGGATTCGAACCCGCGCCTATGAGGGGAAAGACCACGGAAACCAACTCAACCAAGAGAAATTAACTTAGGTTTTTATTGTTAGTTTCAACGAATATAAAGGCACTCAACAAAACAATATGGTAGCACCTTCAGGAACGTAATTTTTTTTTCCATTACGATGGAGGCATGAAGCGGTGGTCCGTGCCACTGTATGTTCCTAATTAGGTTCGCCCCTTCTGCGCAATTTGAGTGTTCCACTGTATGTGATTAAGGCACCTCTGCACACAGAATCAATATTGGAGAATTATCACTGTCAAGGGACCCACATGGTTACAATTCGGGAGAGATGCCATAAAACAAGCGAGTAGATTATGGATTAATGTGCATGTTAATCAAGCAACAGATGCTTGCTCATCCAATAATCTTTGTATTAGGGGGTTACTACAAGTTCCATAAAAACTACTTACCAGGTACTACAAAGATCAAATTATGGTAGCTAGCCATGATATATGATATGGGATTAGTAATATTGAGCATGGCGAAACATGGGAGGAGCATGATCATTTGAAGTCTGGGCTTGATGCATGTACATGTTATCATGCACCATCACATGATTCCCCATACTACCATGCATCTTCTGCACATAATTCCTCTTCGTCATCAATGGTGCGGGATAGTTTGGCTGATACATGTTCATCATTGCCAAAGTTGCAGGTTGATGATCATGGTAAAACCTCGGCAAAGTTGCAGGTTGATGATCATGGTAACTTGGTAGACCGCCATTGAAGCTTCCACCAAACCCTCCAAGTTGACTGCCTTCCAGTTCTATATAACCACAACTATTCTCTCCAGTTAGACTACCATTACCATCCCATCCCATGTGACCATGATTCTCCATGTTGATGGTAGGCATGAAGTTCTGCTCTCTTTCTCTCTCTTCTGCCATACGCATGTTCTGTTTCAAGTACCTTTCGAGAGACAACTGGTCTTCAAGGCTTCTAGGAGGCCGAGTTTTTGGATAATTGAGACCTATGATCAGATTTTGTATCTGATTCTGGTGGTTTCCACCATTGATGAAACTGGAAGTATCTTGATTCTGGTGGTTTCCACCATTGATGGAACTGGTAGCATCTTGATTCTGGTTGTAATGTTGGTCAGTAGATGGCCAAAGTTCTGCATACTTGCCTGATTTTACCAGCTTCTTGATTAGGGTGGTGGAGTCAACATTTCCAGATACTTCGACCTTCTGCTGCTCTGCATCTACATCTACAGAGTAAACCCCTGCATGCAAAATATAATCCCATCTCAATGATCAGACCCAACAATATCTTTGGACTTTCCATTCCATATATAAAAAGGTGCCAAAATCATTTCTTTTCTTTTCTTACACCCTTTGAATTGTTTTCTTGGCATATATCCTTGTCTTGTTTACTGTTTCTCATTATCATCAATGTTGGTCATTGCAGCAGGTAAAAGGTAAAACCATCATTTAAATATGGTCAAAGCATTTAGAAGTCAAATGAAAGAACAAGTTGAGTAGCCATTAGAATGAATGGTCAACACAAATAGGAGTTGAGTATCATCATGGACATTGAAGTAGTAACATGATCTAAAAGGAAGTCAAATGGAGATAATCTTGAAGAACAAAACAATAGGAGTTCAACCTCATCAAATAGCTAGGCTTTAACAAGTGAATACCCACGAGAGGGAATAAAGAAAGAAAAGTTGATGTTACCTTCAACTTTTTTTAGTATTTTCTTGACCTTGTTCTTGCATCCATGGCAGTGAATGTTAACTTTGAGTACACATGTCTGTTTATATGGTTATGCAAGAAAGATTAGTAGCAAGAATAGAAGCAGGTTTCTAGCTATATATATAATATAATGAAAGAAGACTTAAAAATGGAGACCTTTATCTGTAAGATCTCGAAATGATCATTTCTTGACATTTTTTGTGGGTAAGGCAGCAGCAGAGAGAAGTGCAGGTTCTTCACCCTTTTCTACTGCTTTTGTTGTTGGTGGGTTGTGTTTTTTTCTTTCTATTTGAGGAAGTTTTGAGGACATTATTCCATAGAAATAGAAATAGAAATAGAAATAGAAGGTTGTCCTCAAATCATAAGGGGTTTAAAAGAGCAGAGATTTTAATGTAGTACACACACACAATGTGATGATGATACCAAAAAGGGTAGCAGAACACACACAGAGAGGATGTGTGGAGACAGAGACAAAAGGAGGGTATAAACAGTGTGATTTGACCAGGAAATGGAAGAGATGGTTACTTCCTGCAACTATTTTTGTCTCTAGCAAGGAAAGGAACTCCTCTCCTTTCCTAATATATATATATATATATATATATATATATAGAGAGAGAGAGAGAGAGAGGGAGTGGGAAAACCTAAAAAGTGAAAAACTAAAAACACCTTCGTGACTGTTCATGTATACTGTATGTATATATGTATATAAATAATTGAAGATATTTCTTTGTTTTTATGCACGTATGCATGTTATTTACATCTGCATACAAGACAAATTACTTATAAATTATTTGTATGCACATCTGCATACCATATGAATGAACATCTACTAAGATGTTTCTCAGTTTTTCATATATATATATATATATATATATATAGAGAGAGAGAGAGAGATATTGAGGCCAATCACTTTTCATGAGAGCGTAAGACACACTCTTAAGGTTTCTTGTGTTTTCTTATAAATATTTTTCATGTGAAGCTAGGTTTTTTCCATGTGAAGGGTTGTTCTTGTTAGGACTGAAAAATCAGTATTAATTGTATTCATCTTGAAAGATTAATTTTAGTCTATAATTGTAAAGTCAGCGTGTTTGACTTTCTTAGACTAGTTTGACTTTGACTTTGTTAGTTAGGTTGACCATATAAATATGGTTTAATCTTTGTAATTAGATGTAGAGGAGCTTAATTGTAATATTCAGATTAATAAGAGAGTTTGACTGAGCTTACATGCATTGACTTTCTCTCTCAAGTGTTCTTGAGTTCTTACATGTAATATCTAAGAATCTGTCATGATTGATATGAAGATATTGAAGATTGATCAGTAATTGTGGACACACAATTGGTATCAGAGCTAGGGCCGCACCAATGTGGGGGGGGGAATGTTGGGTCAGCAGACTCGGTGTTCCCTCGGCAGGTCAAATCCTCGTCCTTAAACCCACCGCTCCTGTAGCAATGCAGGAGCATCCCACATCGGTGAGGCTAGGGAGTCTTCTCTTCCTTATAAGGAAGTGGGAGTCTTCTCCTACCAGTGACGCGTTTTAGAAAGCAAAACCGTGAGGGGTTGTTGCCGTGCGGGAAAACCCCGGGGCAGCCCAGAGCGGACAATATCACGTGGGCGGCTCCCTAGTGCAGTTACCGGTCCAACAGTTCTTGTAAATGTCTAGTATTTTGCATGAATTGTCTAATATTTTTTTGTTCTGATTTAGCAAGATCAAAATAGGCTATTATATTCATTTTAAATCTAAAATATTAAATCTATGAATTAGTTCCAACTCCGTCACATGTGGATCTTTATCTAATTTACAGATTTAGTCCATGTGCTTATAGATTTGGTTCAAAACCTTATTTTTTTACATTTTGACTCTTACACAAATTAAGGAAGTGTCACCTACGAAACTAATGATATTTTTAAAATTCAAGAAAAAATGACTAAGAATAACTATTTTTATTAATTTATGTTTTTATTAGTATTTTTATATTTGAAATGCTAAATAAATCCCTATATCAAATTGTCATTCACAATGTGACATGAATGAATATAGATCCATCTCTTTTTATGTTCCCAACATAAGATTTAACCTAAAATGGTATCCATATCTATTAATTTTCATTTCATGTTAAAAAGCATTTTTAACAGATTTTTTAAAGTAAAAGTTTATATTATTTTAACATGTTCCTCTATCTTATTTTTTAAAACGGAGAAATATAAAAAACTTTAAATATAAAGAATTCTATAAAATTCTCTGATAATTAGAACGAAATGTTATTTTAATATTTCCCATCAATAAGATTGATTTATTTGTTTTTTATTATAAATTTATCGGGATGATAAAATTTGTAATTTTTTTATAATATAGTTGGCATCGAAATTCACTAAATATAAAAACTATTTGAGTTGAATAAAAAATCTTGAACCATAAGGGTGGTGTATGATTGGTTTGAGCTTAGCTCCAAATGTCAAAAGTAACAGGATGTCTCAGGTTCAAATCCAAGGAAAAATAAAAATCCCTTTGTGGCCACGAAGGTTCAAATGCGGTGATGCCGGACTATCTGTAAAGCAGATGGTCGTTTTGGGATTAGTCGGCTCGCATAGCGGGTTGGATATTCAGGTTAATCAAAAAAAAATATAGGGATTTTGACTTTTGATTCTTTATTTTAGAGATATTATAAAGAATCTGTTAAAAATACTTTTACTTATTAATTTTTTTTATTTATATACATTAATATTAATACTTGTTTTTTATATATAATTTAGTCTGATTAAATGTAAATAGAGATAGAATGTTATTTGAAATTTTGGTTTTATTTTGAAGTTGTAGAGTTGAAGTGAAATGAAAGGAAAAAAGCCGTCAGAATCGTATTGCATGCATCGGTATCAACCCAACCCAAACCATAACCACTTGTTAAATTAGTTTTAAATCTATAGAATCAGTCACCAATCTGGTTACCTTCTAATCCTTTTCTTTTTCTTTTTCTTTTTTAAATCTAAATTTGCTTTTTATATTGTATATATAAAATACACCATTGTACCTTCTAATTTTTATTTTTTTTATTAACCTGGATATCTAACCCGCTATACGAACCGACTAATCCCAGGGCGACCACCTGTTTTGCAGATAGTCCGATATCACCGTATTTGAACCTCTGTGGCCACAAGGAGATTTTTATTCCTCTTTGGATTTGAACCTGGAACCTCACTTTTGACCTTTAGAGCCAAGTCCAAACCAATCAAGCACCACCCTTGTGGTTGTACCTTCTAATTTTTACTGGATAAGCTCCCTTCAGTATCACTTGCCTTACAAATTAAGCCGGATGAACATCAAGAATCTTATTCGATAAGAGGTATAAAAAAACCGAGTCTTACATGGTAAGTGAGATTTTTACCCGGTAGACACTTACTGGGTTTAAGACTCTTACCAACAATCCATTTTGATAACCGGTAATGTTACATGACAAGGTAACTGAGTGTAATTTCTTTTGTTGTTAAACATATGATAGACGGCCCCTGACTCATTTTTGTTCTGTTTTTTCTTTATTCATTTTGCATACAAACACTTATAACATGCATACCTATCACGTATCATCTTTATATTGCATTAAATAGACAAATCATGCTAAAAATCGGATCTCGAACCTATCGTTTCGTCATAACAACGTATTGGATCTTTTCATCAAATTCATAGGCTACTAATCAAGGATACCATAAAAGAATTGTTCCTTCAAAACTTGAATCTATCAATAATACAAACTAGTTTCAACTGTAAGCTTTTCAAACACCAAAATGCTAGCTTTTGATCTTCAAACTTGACCCAGAGAAAGTATTTGTCTATTGGTATTACAGATTTTGCTTCATGCCGAAATCTTTTTACATGCGATCTGATTTGCTGTTTCCACAAAGTCCCGAAACGGCTTGCTGCTAGGGAATCTAATATCATAAGAAAATAAGGTAGAAATGTTATAAAGATTACAGACAAACCAAAATACTTGAGTTTTGATAGGTTGCATGGTCCACATGGTAAAAGGCATCAGTGATGAAGTCTTGATTGATGGTGGTCTGCAAAATGGGTATGATGCCACCCTGGAGTGCCGCCACTGTAGGTGTCTCACGGCGACCCAGTGGCAAGTGGGTGGTGCTCGGAGTCGAACCCCATTGGATTAATAGAGTTGATAAAACTAGAAGAGTATATTTGACGTCTGAATTCCAATTGAGTTGCTCTTTTATCCTATATAGACTTGCATATTATAACAATTTCTAGATTGGGTTCAAATTCGCACATTGTAATTAACTCGTGTCTAGTTAATTTTCCTACAATACAACAAAAGACATTAAGGGTGTGTCTGGTATGTGGATGTGACAGGACAGGCAAGAGTGGAGGCAGGCGGGTGAAAGAATTATAGAAAGTTTTAAAATTTGATATGGATAGTTTAGTAATTTACCAATCTTGTCTCATCTCACTAATTTTTGTCCCACTAACGTGATGTCTAGTCCTGGTCTAATGTTGCGCCAAATATGGGATAACAAGTTTTTGTATGTTCTAGCCCCATCCCACTTACCAAAAGCATCCTAAATGCACGCACCAGGTGCTAGGAGTTTGAAGAAAGTATTGAACTCTTAAAACGTACCTTTGATTTTAGAAATATTGCTTCTACAATGGCAACTTCTTCAGCTTTTGACCTCTCAAACCGTTCCAAAATGCAGCTGCATTGACCACTTTCTTTCCCGGCAGCTGGACTTCCAGGACCTGACAGTTGTGTGACTAACATCAGCTCCCATGTCGATATAAATATCATATCTACATTTGAGTTCTTTTTTTTAATCCCATAGGTCCGTGAAGTTAACAGCCTCCAGTGGCCTTAAGGGGATTCAAACCAGTGCTCGTTGGGGAGCAAACCCAGGTCTTACCAGTTGAGCTACCCCAAAGGGTTCATCTGAGTTTTCGTGAGAAGTATATAAACTTTGAATAAATCTTGTTATGGTCCATGAATGATCACCTCAAGAGCAGTATTCCCGCCACATGGTATGATCAGTGACCCTTTCCTGAAGGTCACCTCATCATCTTTGCTACTCTGAACATCATTACTGTGATAAACTCTAGAAGTGATGACTTTTAGCTCAAGCTCGCTGCATTTATCACTCTTCTCATCAATCACATAAATTCTAGCACGGGTTCCTGGCCAACCTGCAAAAGCCCGCACCTAGAAGGTTGTATGTCATGATAACAGATTTGGATCAGACAAGATTAATCTTATGGCATACCTTGTTATGTAGAACTAAAGCTTCTTGGTCAAATAATAACCATGATTCCTCTTGAGTTATCTGCATCAAGCAGCAAAACCTTATTGGCTTACCAAAATTCACATTCTTCCAATTTTCTAGGCAGCTTCATGGCTAAGCAGGTGCAAATTTACGCACCTCTGAGTTTGGACGCAGATGTGACAGGACAGGTCAGGACTGGATGGGCACGAGCGAGGGTGAGGTAGGTAGGTGAAAGAATTATGCAAGGCTTTAGGGTTTTAAATTGACATGGGTAGTTTAGTAATTTACCAATCTTGTCTCATCTCCCTATTTTCCACTTATTTTGGTAGGACAAAGAAAAACTTAGTCCTGTTCTGTCCCTGTCTTCACGTCGCACCAAACGCACCCTTAAGAAACAATCACGTGTACTTTTTGATTGCAGAAGAGCCCTTTTATACGCTATTGATATATAACTAGTTAAAGCAGCATCAAACAAGAAAAAAATCACAGTTTCCATAAAGGCCATGAATGTCTCGATGTATGAAAGAACTCGCGTAACTGAACTGATGACATAAATCTTGGCAATCAAGAAACTTTCGGGAGTTAAATAAAATATCATTAAATAAAATATACCTTTGGAGCCAACGTAGCTTTGGAGTCATCCTGTGCTTGAGCTTTCATCTTTGCTGACCCATCAAATATAGACGGAAGCTCTTGAAGCAGAAGTTTAGATCCTGCACATATTAGGATCAATCAGCTGTAGATGCAGATACCTACGTAACCATGCACGTATGATTACTGCAAACTCTGAAAGAAGCCCTTTTCATTAACACAATTGTATAAGATTGTGTACAATCCTAATCAAGGGCCTACGGTTGAAGACTGTACATTTGTTATCTGAATAGGCCTATATATCCCAGAAACAACAGTCTAAGCTAGCTCAGATGGAAATTGTGGCATGCAAATTCGAACAACTTAGTATCGTCCCTCATAAGTCTCTGTTCTAAGCTATCTTACATTCAATTCATGACTGAATCAAGAAAAGCAGATGAAGAAAATACAAATACGACAATTTAAAACAAAACTTGTGGTCATATGCGCCCCAGCTAGACTCATCTATATTGAAACACTTGTATGACATCTTCCATCTGTGTCATATCAATAGGATGGCACAGTAAACAGGCATTAAGTTAGATGTTTGGTTTAGGACCAGACGTCAAGAAGTAGCAGAAAAAAGAACACTGCTCTAGCTACGAATGAGCAAGGAAGAATGATCAACCTCGTGCAAATAGCAGATCAAGCAATTCTGGAGCCTGCAAAAAAACCAAGTCAAACGTTATTAACCTACTAATAATCCCAAATTCTACAATTACATATAAGAAATGACCACATTTACTAGCAAAAAGGAATGCTAATTTATTATGTGTAATGAACTTGGGAACATTAATAGGTTTAACTATTTGCATTGTAGTATACTGCTTCCATTTTTATTCATCTACAATTAGCTTTTATATGGAAAAATGTGTGTTCTGCAAGCCAATGGTTCTAATCGGGTTGGCGCCATAAGTGTCGTTGAAACTTTGTTACTTTCATACGTCTCTCATTTTCATTTTTCTTGATAATCTCTGTTGTGAGAAAGGCAAGAAGCTCTACTATCTACCCATTTGTGCTCTAGACGGCATAACGGAATTGAACAAATTGTGTTCTTGGAGTAGAAGATGATTGATATACAGCAAATCTACTACTTTTTTTTCTAAATATATGATTACTTTTTTGTAATTTATGAAAAGAATGCAAGGAAATGCATACCTTAATATGATCATCTATTTCCATTTTTTCGCATGCAATAATGGGACCAGCATCCAGTGCCCTGACAGTGAATGCCAATGATACGCCAGTTTCTTTAACTCCATCCTGATGAATTTGTGTATCGCTTACAAAAAGATGCAATCATTCTACTATTTACTTCAAAATATATGAATGAAAAATGAACCTGCAATGCTCTCTGAACAGGAGCTGCTCCGCGGTATAAAGGCAGCAAGCTTGGGTGTATATTAACAGTCCCTAGGAAGATTCAAAAGTAATTAAGCTTTACGCCTAGCATCAGAGTTCAACGAACTTTAGTTCAAATAGAACAGAGAAACAACACTTGACACTTGATCGTTTGGCCATGTGTTTTTTACAGCTATATCATTAATAATAAGTTAGATAAATATCTCATCAAAGTCGCAACTAAACATAAGATTTTCTCTAATTCTATCAAGACATGAGCCTTCACGTCTTGTGACATTGTAAATTGTAATACCTCTATAATTTTGATGTTGCTTAAGTGGTTTCTTTTAATAACGGGATGTTCGCAAATCTTCCCTTTTCAATATTACAATTAAATGTAGAATTTTGCCTTTTCAATATGATTAACAGAAACTCAAAGAACATAGGTAGTGAGAATTTTCAAATTTTAAATGTTTTCAAGTTTTTGTGTAAATGTATGACGAAAATAAGCATCACGATGACAGCTAAGAAATCCAAAAAAAATCAACCACCAAGGCAAATGTTAAGGTATGGAATTCACGAGTAACAGATGTATAGGTCTAACTATTGGGTCTAACTATTGGAGTTTATGTAGCATAATCTGTGTGACTTCAAGTTCATGATAGTTATCTCGTTCTTTTGTCATGTAAGTTTAGCAAACTTACAAATAAGCTCTAGAGTCATAAAAGAAGAAGAAGAAGAATTGCTTTCAAGAATCCCACCAATACAACTTCCGAGAGAAGAATGTGTATATGTTCAATACGAAAAAATGACATGGTTATGATACTAATTTATGCGTTTATATCATGAGACTGCAACATATGACCAGCTAGGGTCACGAAGCTTTGGATTTTCTATCTAAAAGCATCATGAGATCTTTACAAACCCAAAACGCTGATAAAGAACACTGACCTAATGAGGGAATCTTTAAAAACTTGGTTGGTAATATATTGCCATATGCTGCCGTGATGCAAAGTTCGGGCTCAATTGCACTAAAGTTGGTCAAAAATGCTTCCTGCATGACAATGAAATATAAACTACACACTCATAAAAGAATGTTGAATGGACAAGAAATCATTTGATGTGAAAGGTGTAGGTAGTTGTGAGGGGCAGAGGCACACACATCACCCCTAAGACACAAGATCCATTGAAATGAGGAGCAAGTCAATTTTATTTAGCAGGACTTCATTTATTATTTAAACCACAGTCCCATTAAGTCCTTCGTTTTGCCTTCGATATTGCTATTTGTATCTTCTCTTAATCTTTGATGAATCTATTTGTGAACATGAGGATAATTGAATATCAATTGTTAACATGCTATTAGAGTGTTAGTGCTAATTGAATGACATTGATTAATAGATCTCATTGCTGATATGTAAAATTGTAGATGTTAACTAATGACTATTTAATTATATGTCAATGGTTAACATGTAGTTGATGTTGATTGAAATTGTTAGCATTGGTGGTTATCTGATTTTAGTGTGTATGTTAATGTTGGTCTAAACTGCTCATGTTAAATTGTTGATTGGTTATTCTTTAATTGAAGGTTGTGGCTTCTTTGTGTATGCTACTAATGTTAAAGAGCTTTTTGCAAGTTATTCGCCTCGCTCCTCATGCCTGGGCCCATTGGAGACCTTTGCCCCTTGCACTTTAAATAACACTAACAGGCTGTTTGACAGATTCGAATGGTTTGGTCCAAAATGATAAAGAGGCTGGGTATAATTTGGTGCGAAATGAAAATTCTCCGTTTGATTATTGATCTTGATGGGTTGACTAAAAGTTTCCCTTTACAGCTATGAATGATACAAATTAAAGTTAAATATAAAATTAAAACAATTTTATTTTATAAATAGTTTTATTTTTCCTTTTTGTTAGATATGTAGATTAGGGTTTCACTTTCTTGTTTGTAGTTGCATGGTTTCCTTAAAAAGGTTATTTCTTGTATATAGAGATGCACAAATGGGACTCAGACAGAGAACCAGCGCAGCCATGGCTGGAAAAGGACCGGTTAAGGTGAGGACCAGGCCCAAAGGGCCGATCAGCCCTCACTTTATTGGAAAAAGCCTGGTTAGGACACGTCCTCATTTGGACTGGTTAATGGGGGCGGAGAAGGAGCTAACAAAGTGGATGGTGGTGGTGTAAACCAAGCAGCAGAACTAAACAGATGGTGGTGTGAGCCAAGCAGAAGAAGCTACTCAATCTCCAATTTGGTTGACAGTGTTGTTTTTCAAGTTTACAAGAAGAAAGAAAGCAAAGAGTAGCAATGGAAAAATCTTGCTTCTAATGGTATGGATAAGCAACCTGCGTTGAGTCAATAAGTGGCTGTGGCCCGATTCATGAGGCATGAAGTTGATTTACCAAACAAGCTTGACCTCTGACCGAATCAAAGGCCACCTTTGATTCATCTCATTCAGATGCATGCTAAAACTACTATCCATATAGAACTTTTAAAGAGTGAGAGGATTAACAAAACCTAAATCAACTACTGATATTAAATTCATCCACCATCTTCTATGCCTATTTAAAGGCCAAGTGCTAGACAAAAACCATATATTCGAAAATTAATTTCTATCAAGTGTAAAAATTTTAGTCAACAACTTATTCTAGCAGAAACTTAGCAACTATTAACAAGAAAGCTGATTATGCCATCTGCTTGAGCTTGTTTTAACCGAAGGAATATATCATACATGAACCAGATTGAGAAAAACACTTTACATAATTAATTCTTAAACGTGTGAAGTCAGTACGCAAAGATGAGAGTCAGTATAAACTATATGCTACATTACCTCGCTGGCTTTAACAGGTGTGAAAATCAGATCGGCAGGGAAACCTCTATCAAGAGCATGCTGTGCAACAGGAGACGGCATCACCTTTCTTCCCCTATCTCTCCCTGAAGGTGGCTGAGTAACAATAGCTGCAACCTGAATCACAACAGATAACAATCACAAGTCATCTTCTTAATTTCAAGCCATTGACTACTCCGAAATCTAAATGACTAAATCCATTAAAGGGTCCGATAGATAATCACTCATGAGGCAGTACAGTAGATGGCTTTCAGTACACCAACGGCCAGATTTATAATCACTCATTCAATGCTTGTCTGTCTGAAAACTACAGCAATTAGTTTTTTGTTCCAAAAGTTGTTAAAAACAAGAATACACCAACCATTCCAAAAACTAGATACACTTAGAGGTCAAATGGTTAATTGATACACTGCTAAAATTCTCAAAAGTGCTACAGATAAAACATCTGTCATAATGTTAATCATGTCAAAGGGAAATGCTGTATACAAAGACCTTTCCCCAATGATCTTTGGTGTAGTAGGGTTGTAATTAGAATTCATATCGGTTTTTGCCTTCGGAAAATGCTAGTTTTTAACTCAAACCAAAGTGATAATGCTGATTCCTCGTTGTGTGATGCCAAACAGATAGAGATAGCATATTACGTTATGAGATTTAGCCAATTCCAACTCAAATGATATTTACTAATTCTAAGACAAAAGGTATACAGCCTTAGATTTAGAAAGAATGAACCCTATCATCATAAGTGTAAGCAAGTTATTGAACCCACAGTCATAATTCTCAAACATTGATGACATGATATTCACAAATATTTCTACAATTTCCAACATATAAAGAAATCGAAATATAGTTGAGGCATCGAGTATCAATCACAATTCATATAAAAGTAAGTACCTCAAACATGGAATCAGCAGCATTGGATGCGTCAAGAAGAGTCTCGAGAACAGAAGCAGAAACCTAACACGAAACAGATAGCAAATTAACAAACCGCAACTCAATCAAAATCACAAATAATCACTTATTACAATGCTGTTTACACAAATTACAGAGCAAAGAGCAACAGATTACCGATGGAGAACCCAAGAAAACGAGTTTTTTCTTCTTGGCAGAAGAAGGGGTTAGAGAAGTAGAAAAAGCGACGGCAGAAGACGAAAAGGAAGGCGTTGGTAAACAGCAAAAGCGGCGGAGCATCAATGAGTGGTGCATTGTTCCGGCTGCTTGGTTCCGATGAGTAAACAAGCATTCAGAGTCGTGTTTCACCGGCTGCTTTCATCATATTCGAAGCCATCTCCGTCACCGGATTAGATGCTTTCTTTCTCCGTCGTTCGACCGTAAAGGGTAAAAATGTCATTTTTCAACCTTTATAATTTCAATTTTGGTGCATAATCATTAAGTGGTTAGAATGTGTAAGATACTTTTATATTATAGTACAAAATAAAATATAATTATTTGGTAATTATTTAAAATGAAATTAGAGTGCTGAATGGTTAAAAGATACATAAGATACAAAACCATTTAGAGGGTTTCAGAACTATTAAGAGGCAGACTTTTTTTTGTCAAACAATAATCACCTTTTAACGATTCAGTGGCTGCCTCTTAATGGAACCATTAAGAGGTAAACATACAACCAACTCACTTGTGAATCCTCTGAATTTTTTTTAATTAATATTTTAAAATCCTCTGAATGATTTTGTTATCATATATCTTCTTTAACAATTTAACATCTTAATTTCATTCTGAACAATTATCAAACAATTATATTATAGAGCTTTTTAATCATTCTGACAACTTAATTATCTTAAACTAAAACATCCAGCAACTACCAAATAGCCCCCAAGTGTTTTGAAAAGTCCAAAAAACTCAATAAAAATTTCTCATTTTGAATAGTTTAATCACTAAACTATTTTCTTTTTTTAAATAAAAAGATCATTAACTTTCTCATTTTAAATTATTAAGTCCGTAAACTATTTTTTTAAATTAAAAAACCATCAAACTTTCACATTTTGAATGCCAAAGATCCTGATTTAAAAAAAATATAGATCATCGAACTTTAACTAGTTAGTAAATATTAACCAATTTTTAAAAGTGCAATGGTTTATTTATTAAAAAATTGTTAATCAATCAAAATAAAAAAGTTAAATGGGTTTTTCATTCTAAAAAAACATTGAGTTTTTCATTCAAAAAAATGGAAGAAAATCATATTTAGAGGTTGTTTGGCAGTTGCTGAATAGTTGGATGCAGAATGATTAAATGGTCAGAATGATTAAGAGACTTTTATGATATAGTGCAAAATGAAATATAATTGTTTGGTGATTGTTTACAATGAAATTAGGGTGCTCAATGGTTAATGAAGACTCAGGATACAAAATCATTCAGAAGATTTCAGAACTATTAAGAAGCAGACTTTTTTTTCCCAAACAAGATTCATCTCTTCACGATTCAAAGGTTGTCTCTTAATGGAACTATTAAGAGGTAAACAAATAACCCCTTAAAGAACATCCCTGGAGTTCCCAACATTCCGCCCAACTTCACTGGCGTGAAAGGCGCGCGAAGAAAAGCTGCCAGAAAATCAATTTTCTTAACTATTTAACCCCAAACCTAACCATTCCAAGATATGGATCAAGGTTTATTCTAAAGTCAAAAATGCATTTAAAACGTCAAAATATACGTACTAAAATCCGGGTGTTACATAATACATACAAAAGAACATGAAACAAAGCAAATAGCAAGGGTTTACAGACACCATTAGTATTATGATGAGAAATTGCAAGCTTTTATATCTATATATATAAACTGAACACATCATTTTCAACATAATCCTCCTACTACATACATACATTTTTCCTAAATGCCAGCAAATAAACTTTCATCAACCCACCCTTCCCCCTTTCGATTTCCGTTACAAACTAACCATCGTTCTTTTGAAAAAACACAAGAAACGTCGGTTCGTAAGATCGATAGATTCGAGAAAACGTAAAAATTCCCAAATCCAAAAGAAAACATCTTACTCGCCATTTTTCGTCAACAGTTTTCTTTCATTTAGCATCTCTCCAAGAACGATGGTTTGATTACAACAGAAAAAACCAAGTATGATCGGCCTAAAAAGTCAATAACTCTTGAAAAAATGGTCTTCGGTATCAAACGTCACCTAAATCCGAAGTGTTCCATATACAAACCTCCAAGTTCAGCTCACCCGACGAATTAAGGTACCCAAATGGAACCAAAAGAAAATCGGATGGCGGAATACCTTCGACCCGACCTGGAAGAGTCTGCGTGTATGATTTCAATCTTAACGAGCTGTTTCCTCTTTCTGACACAAGACAGTACAGAAAACGCTCGTTACTGGAGCTTGGGCCGATGCAAGTTACCATAACGGTGTGCCCGATATTTTCGGTCCCTTTATTGAGTAAGAAAAGAACACCATCGTCTTCTGCTTGGAGGACGAGAAAGGTTTCATCCATGCCTAATGATACGGGTAATGGGGAATTATACTGAAACCGCCTTCCGGAATCCCAATGTTTGGTGCTGAAATGATCTGATAATTCTTGAAACAAACCGGTGAAGTTGCAGTTCAGAAGAGGGCATGTAGATTGACCTGCGTACATACCTCTATTATCGTGGGCGTTCGGGTTTGTGTATTCTAATGGATTCTTGTAGCCATAATTATCAATCCGCACAGGCGGTGTGTTTTCGTTCTTGTAAGCAAATGGTACGTTTTCCTGCAGCGATTCCAGATCATATATCAGATTATTTCACTTTGATCATAATAGTATGCGGAGAAAGCTCAAATGAGAACCATAAATAATTTAAGAACCTGGGAACCATCTCATGTAATTATTCATGATGAATAAACCTAAATATTCACACATGAATATCATGCCTTCTCATTATTCATGATGCCATACATTTTCATCATGATTATGATCCATTTTCATTATGAATAAGTTTTGCGATAAATATCTATCACGGCATTCATCATGAATGATACATGAATAGTTGGTTCTCATGTTTTCACAATATTTATGGTTCTCATTTGCACCTGCTTCATAACACGTAATGCCGTGATAAGAATTACATAAATCTATTCATTTTGAAACATTAAATCATGCTAATTGAAATTCCAAAAAAATATTTGAATCGATACTTTTGGCAGATAGGTTCCTAGAATCACAGGTTAGATAGCGGGATTTGTGGTATTCACGTAAAAAGTCACTCTACCCTTCGGGGTAGAAGGCCCCCCCCCCCCCCAAAAAAAAGGGACCATACTTTCGAGTGGGATTATACAAATCCAAATCCAATCCCACAATTCAGAACAAAAGAACGAAGCTAAAAAACCTTCATGTGGTTCACAATCAAAAGCTAGCAAAAGACAAGACATGAGACATGAATTCAAATAAAACGTCATTTGACCTAAAAAATGTCGGTAATTTACCAGGTTTTCATCTTGTCGAACCAGAGTACCACGATTAACTCTAGCAGCCACCTCTCTCAATGGGAGCACGTCGACATGATCCCTATCATTTAACAACCCCAATCCAAGACCTCTCTCCTTGCAAATCACCTGCACATCAATAAAAATCTTTGAACTTGCATAAAAATACAAGAGTCCACTAATTTTTTAAACACACTGAGGCGCGGATTCAAAAAAATCCGAAGGGGGCATTAAATAATTAACATACTACAAAATAAAACAAAAATTAATTATAAAAAGTGCGGTGACATACAAGTGGTCTATTTCATTTTTTTTACTTTCTTTTCTGCTACTGTTACCAACGAAAATTAAAAAGAGCCAAAGGAACTCGATCTTGCAACCTATAATGCCACATGCAAGACATTACCCGGAGACTGCAGCAACCACTTTTTGTTAACTTAGGGGAGCCGGGAGAACACATCAAATTAAAGCGACCGCCCCTTTAAGACCTGTAATATTTTTTTTCCATTGCATCGGGACGATAGAACGGGGGCACAAGCACCCCGTAGCCTATGAGTAAATCCACCCTTGAACACATTTCAATTCTTGCAAAAATGCAAAAGAATAGATACACTACATTTTGCAAGAATGACTGATTTTGCACATCAAGTGTCATGTGCAATGGTTTTTTTGTATTTAATCTCCAGAATTTGTCACAAAACCACTGATTCTTAAAAAGTATAGTGTTAATTTTGCATTTCTTTTCTAAAAGAGATGGTTTGTTTGCAACAAAAAACCGAGTACAATAGTTTGAAGAGCAAACATCCGAAGATATACACATGTACAAACATATGTATGTATGTATTTATCTATATATGTTTGTGTAGGCATATCTATATGTATTTGTATTATATATAGGGGCAGGTTCGAACAAGAACGCTAACTATTTAAGAAAACAAGAAAAAGTTCGTTAATGTACAAAATCAGATATGATTCACGTACAAAAATCATACATGATTCACACATATATATATTCACGTACAAAATCATACAGGTTCAAAAGTCGTCCTCTTCCATTTTTTTGAAGTTAATGTAAAATCACATGTGATTTTGTACATTAACGACCTTTTTCTTGTTTTCTTAAATAGTTAGTGTTCTCGTTTGAACCTTCCTCTCTCTATATGTGTGTGTGTGCATATATATATATATATATATATATATATATATGCGTGCATATGTACCCATGTGAAAAAGATCATTGTATCCGGACTACAGCTTACCTCTCCACATCCATAACCACCAAGCTCTTTCTCCTGTTTTTCTCTCTCAGAAATAGCTTCTTCTGTCCACGAGGATAAGCATGGAACAACAACCGGTCCAGGTTCACAAGTTCCTCCAATGGCAACACTCTCGTAGTAAAAGAGCTGTAAATTTTGATAAAACTCTTAGATTGCCAAACAAAACTTGGAAAGAAAAACAAATACTCACATGCATTCTAGTTCACCTGAAGAAATAGAAGACAACCACCCACTGCACGCTGTTTCCCTTGCCGATAACGAGATACCTCCCTAACGAGCCTATCAAGCAAGAATTTTGCCCAATTGTACTCATGAATAGAATCCATATCCGTCAAAAGATGAAGAAATGAAGGGCTAACGTCTAGCCTTGCCGTAGGGCACAAAAGAGTTCCTAAAACATAGAGAAGAAACGCTCTCTTAAAATCATCTCCTGCTTCTGGTTGTCCCAACCTTTCTTCTAGAAAACGAACTGAAATTCCTCGATTTGAAGCGTTGTACTTTTGACGCAATTCGGCAACCAAGTCATCAGGCCCCGAGTTTACCACATCCTTACCAGTAGCTGGTAATCCCATCACAAGTTCCACATCATGCGGGTACAAAGGAATTCGTTCACCACAAATCTCTAAGCTACGCCTTATGGTGTTAAATCTTTCTAGCAACCATAGGCACAAGCTGCGCCTCAGAGTTCTACATTTGAGATCAAGAAGGCTGCCAAATCCCATGCTCTTCACAGCTTCCTTTTGGTCACTTGTGAAGTGTTTTAACACGTTGACTAGACGACCAGGAGAACACCTTGTGACTAAATTGGCCTGCATCACAAACCCCATAAGTAATAAGTAAAGTGTAAAAAGCATTACTGTGAGAATATCTGGAAGTGGAACCCCGTTACATTACTCTTCAAAAAAGCCCTTGAGATAAGGAATGTTCCAACATATATAGGGGTAAAGAGACCATGTCCAGCCGATATGGGAATCTTAACTTGCCCCCTCCAACAGGGGCTATACAGAGACATTGCCCCAGAGTTTTAAGTCCCTAGAGGTGGAAGACCCCAACTCTGATACCATGTGAGAATATGTGGAACCCAATTAGATTACTCTCGAAATAAGCCCTCGAGGTAAAAAGGGAGATTCCAACATATATTTAGGAGTAAAGGGACTGTGTCTAGCCAATACGATCAGCTAACACGCCCTCTCCAAAGAAGGCTAGACGAAGAAGGTGCCTCGGATGTGTCGAGTCCATAAAGATGGAGGACTATGGCTCAGATACCATTTTAGAATATGTGGACCCAATTACATTCCCCTCCGATAGAACCCTTCATAAGAGAAGGAAGGTTCTAACGTATATAAGAAGTAAAGGGACCTTGTCCAGCTAATATGAGACTCTAACACGCCCCCTCCAATGAAAGCTAGACTTAGACAGTGCCCCAGAGTAACGAGTCCCTAGAGGTGGAAGACCATGACTCTGATACCATGTAAGAATATGTGGAACCGAATTAAATTGATCTCCAGAAGATCCCTTGAGGAGAGAACGGAGATTCCAACATATATTGAGGAGAAACGGTCCAAGTCTAGAACTCCAACAATCAACAAACTGAAAAATCCTAAAGATGGTACCACCTGCTTTCTAGGTTTAGGTTCACGGGCGGGAGCAGAACTCAAGTAGTCATCCCACACTTCACGAGCACGCTTGGTGTATTTTGCTTTTTCTTCAAGGGTCATCACTTTCCAAGCGTCTGAGGCCGCTTTTGTCGCCTAAATGAAGATAACATCAACATCAATTCTGGTTAACATTTCTTAAGCATTCTTTCTAGATACAAAATCGGGACAGCACATCAAACCACAGCCAGGATGCTTACAACTTTCAGACCAGAGGATTCAGGATGGGAAGCACTGTATTCCTTAATGAACTCACGGCTACATCATTGTTCACAATCAAGTATATTAGTCACTGATAGAGCAAAAACCAACACAATTGAATACCAAAAAAAACGTATTCGATTTATTACCTAAAATGTACCCAAGAACAAGCAGGACGAGGTGTACCACCTTGCTTCTTCTTTTTCTTCCTCCTGCTCCCTTCGAGCTCGAGACCTGTCATTTCTTTCCTCTTTCCCACCATGGAATCACTTTCACTAGGCACCTATTTAGAAGAAACAAAAAGGGTTTACGATATCAGATTGAAAACCCCACCAGAAAGTTAAAACTCACCAACAAAACAGTTGTTAATATCCAAACAACAAAAAGGAATAAAACAAGAAAACATAATTAAAATTTAATCTCATTAGTAGCTTTAAATTTTAATAGAACCCAATTCATAAGATTCACCAAGTCTTCTCTAATAGCTATGATAACAGCAATTCATCAAAAAACCTACATAATCACACTAATCATCATCTAATCCCACTTGAAAACTCCAAATACTTTCAATGGTTTCTGCCTAGCATACCATCTTAACCTAGATTGTAACCATAGTTAAAGATGTGTTTGCTGTCAGAATCAAGAACACCCATCACACTCTCCAATTCATATCAAATTTAATACAAATAAAACTAAGAAATCTCAATTCCATATCAACAAAAGCATCAATTTTACAATCCAGATCAAGAATCAAGAACACACATATGTCATCAACATAAACGGATCACAAAGACTACACTTTAACGAAACAAAACAAAACCCGCTAATGCAAATTAAAGATTAGAGCAAAATTGAAAAGGGGGATCGTTACCATTGGGGAGAAAATGTCAGCTCCATCGTCGAAATTGGGAGAGCTATCAGTAACCATGTATACAAGATTGTAAGAAATATGGTTAATTAGGGTTGTAAAAAGGGGGAAAGTGGATAATTTTTTGGGTTTTTTATAGGGATGATGATTCTGATCAAGTTTCTTACACGAATCGGTAGTGAGCTTGCCTGTGGTTAAGGAGAATTGAAAGGGGGAGACAAGGATGACAACATAGTTTTGAGGAGTTTTTCTTGATTCTGATCGGATGCATTAGAAATGACCCCCCCGTTTTTGCATATTTACTGCTGCGCTATATTTTACATAAATGGTCCCTGTATTATGGAATGTCTCAATATTAGTCCCTTGACTTTTTTATTTTACTATTCATTATACAAACAAAACTTTTATAAATCATATACTTGTATTCTTATACTCGGTAGTAGGGATGTTCAAAAACTCAATCAACCCAACGTAAAATAACTCAACTCGAAGCAACCCGATGTCTAAACAAGTTATAAAATTTTCAAACCGTAGATATTGGGTTGATATTGTTTGAACTCAACCCAACCCGATGAACCCGATATCCTTTTATTTCTTGGATTTAATATGATTGTTAATTTCTATTAATATATACATTAGACAATTACATCATCATGTGCGCTCTTCATATACATATCTTTTCAATCTATTCACATCCCTATATAACGCATTCGTATATATGTTCAGTAACTGTAAACATATATACGTAAATTGAGAAAATTAATTGAATGTGATATATGTAAGAAATATGAATAAATTGTATCAAATGGTTGATGATGAAAAAAAATTATGAGTAGAGAAATAACATATTCAAGGTTAGAAGAATATTCTAATGTATCAAAGTACCAACCCGACCAACCCGTACGGTTTGGGTTGGGTTGCACTTTTGTTTGAGTTGGGTTGGGTTGGGTTAAGATTTTTCAAACCGCAAGCATTGGGTTGGGTTGTTCAAATGTCTTCAACCCGATCAACTCAACCCATGAGCACCCCTACTCAGTAGATTTATATCTTTTTTCTTTAATAAAATTCTCGTAATTTTAAAAAGAGCTTTCCGACATATCTTGTCTTTTCAAAACTTTTCACATGTTATAGGACTCTCAGAGAAATAGGATCTCTGTTATTTTAGGGTAGAAGAAATGTCTATATACGTTCCACATTGTACTCTACTTTTAAGTGAGATATATCAGATACATATAATTTGGTCTGGTTTACGTCAATCTCCTCCAAATCCAGACAATCGTCTGATGTTAATCGTTGGTAATTGTCAAGATCATTAATATTCGTTCCGTTGATTTGGTTCTTTCCACGACGTCTTGTCTCAAAAATGGTTGTTTTCAATTACGTCATCTATTTTGTCTCTTTTAACATAAAGAGTTCAGTTGACTCGTACCTTCTACATTTGTCGTTGTAATTGGTAAATTCTTTAGAATATAATATGTTAATAAAAAAATATTTGAAAGTACATTGCTGTACCAAGAAAAATAAATAAAAATACATTATGATAATAAAAAAAATTAAAAGTAAATTGTTATTTCGTACATTTAACCTTGTCGACTAAATTGGTCTTAATTTTTGCACGTAATTAACATTATGAATGAAAGTTATTGTTATAAATTAGATTAATACCATATAAAATTGTACATTTCTAAGATCAATAATAAGTTTTTTTTTAACCACAAGGATGGTGTCTGATTGGTTTGAGCTTGGCTCCAAAAATCAAAAGTACCAGGAGGTCACAGGTTCAAATCCAAGGAGAAACAAAAATCCCCTTGTGGCCACGGATGTTCAAATGCGGTGACTCCGGGCTATCTGCAAAGCAGGTGGTCGCCCTGGAATTAGTCGGCTCGCATAGCGGGTTGAATATCCAGGTTAATCAACAAAAGAAAAGTCTTTTTTTATATTTTCAAGAGTTTTTTACACAATAATATGTTAAATGTGACGATTATTTCGTTACATACAACTGAACATCATGTATTAAAGGTTAAATATAGAATATAGTTAGTTTAACATCTAATTTCGTTGTTGACATTTTCGAATAAAGAAAATGTAACGGAACTTGGTATAAGAATCATTTTTACTTAGCCGATTAAGCCGTTATTGAAATGGCTTAACACTTTTCATTCATGGTAATTCAAAGTAGAGATGAGCATTTGGACTTGGCCTAATGGACCAGATCATACAAAAGATCAAGCTACAACGTCATCGGTCTGGACCAGGTCAAACCACTTGTCTTTTTCAAACCATTTTTGTGATATTCTGACCTCAATCGAATGCTATATGACTCGTGACTGCCTTAGTTATCGTGTTTGGTCGCATAACTTTGAGCATTATTCAGTACAATTATTGTGAGATCCATCTTGCGATTTGTTTCCAGTCAACATCTCTTTCCTTTTGATCGCATACATCTGAGTTCCTTTTGGTACATTTTTTTTGTAAGCAAGGTCAGCGAGAATGACAACTTGCTTTGGCAAATTGCGTAATATACTTCAATGGCATGTGAACCGATGCGGGTTTTAAGTTCATTTTTAGGGATTTTTGACCTTTGGAGCCAAGCTCAAACCAATCAGACACCACCCTTGTGGTTATTACCACCATTATTGTTGTAATCTTTCAAGTTTGTAATACAATCATCAATAACAGATCAATTCTCGATAATCGTTTTTCCCTTTCCGGGTTTTCCACATAAAAATCTTCGGTGTCACTCTCTCGTATATTTACTTTCAAAATTTAGGTTGCTTATTGATTTTTTATGCTAATAGTCGTAGATGGTATTTACATACTGTTACGGTTTATTTCCGCTTAATCTGGATACTATAAATTAGTTCATTGTTCTTGAGGATATTGTGAATTGATTTAACTTAGTTTGCGATTATTTGCAAACAGGGGATTATTGATTTGCAACATCTTTTAGCCGGACCAAATAAAAATCTGACTTTTTTAGACTAGTTAAAGCCTGTACATGGTTTTTTTTAAACCAGATATATTTACGGTCCTATTTTTTCCCCTTTTCTTAAAAAAACTAGAATAGGAGTTGTTTGTTTACCTCTTAATAATTTCATTAAGAGGCAACATCTGAATCGTTAAAAAGTGAATCTTGTTTGGCACCAAAAAAGTCTGTCTCTTAATGGTTCTAAAACTCTCTGATTGATTTTGTATCATGGATCTCCCTTAATCATTAAGAGCCCTAGTTTCATTGTACACAATTACCAAACAATTATATCTCATTTTGCACGATGTCATGAGAGCCTCTTAATCATTCTGCACCAAACCATTTAGCAACTGTCAAACAGCTTCATAGACTTTTTTAGACTGGACTAGACAAATGACCGATTTTTTTTTCTGGACATACCACATGTCTACGTTTTGTCTTCACGTAGCCAAATCGAACTAGTCTAGCCCTTTTTCTGGAGTTGTCCGTGTGCAACTCTAACTCAAAGGTTATGAATTCAAATCTCAATCTTCTACACGCACAATAAAATTATCGAGAATGTAGCAACGAAAAAACGACAAAATTAAACCATCAAATACGATTTTCTTAATTTTTCCGAAAAAAATGCTTTGATAACTTTGGAGGTTCAAATGTTAAAAAACATGCGAACATTTTGTTTCGAACCTAATAAAGAATCACAGTGCACACCAAGTGTGTGACATCTTAATGTGGTTTACACTCGTATTTCATTCCAAACACACCATCGACATGATACCACAAGGTCGGGTTTTTATAGCAGTAAAAGAATACAGTGATTTATTATTAATTGTTCGTTGGCTTCTATTAGTTTTTATATCTACCAACCGACAGTTTGACAGCGTTTCACCTTGACCTAATATGAGAATGAAAATAGCTTATAATATAAATATGTAATTTGTTGCCCGAATTACGTTGAGACGTGAAGTGATAAACATCAACAATACTGCTAATTTCTTAAATGAACCAAACAAAAACATCTGTTTATAACTAACCAGAAAGGTTTTTATAGAAAAAAAAAGAAACCCTAAATCGGTTTTTATCATATTCAAATCTTACGACATTCAAACCCCTCACATCCAATGGCATTGCTCCCCCTCGTCGCTTCACCATCGTCTGCTCTTCATCACCGCCGTTGGCCTCTTACATCGATCTCCCTCTTTTTTTTTTCCGATTCTTCCTCTTCTTCGATATGTCTATACATACTACATTAAATCGTTGTAAAGGATGAATAACTGGAAGGGGGCAATGAAGTCGATGGGCGCTGATGTAGAGCAGATGACGATGTGGTAGTGAGGGGAGCGACACCGTTGGTTGCAAGGGGTTTGAATAATTTAGAGTTTGAAAATAATGAAGTTGAGTTTGATTTTTTTTTTTTTACTATAAGACCTTAGTTTTTTGAGTAAAAATATTGTAAGTAACCAATTTCTAAAAGTTCGATGGTTTATATCAGAAATTAACTGTTCAATAATTTAATCATTCAAAATAGAAAATTTAATGATTTATTTATTAAAAAAAATCATAAACTTAACCATTAAAATGAAAACTTTTACTGATTTTCTTTGAATCTTTCCTTAAACCCGAATTTCTTATTGTGTACAAAACCCTGATATTTATCTTAAAATAACGTTTGCTCACCAGTAACGTTTGTTATAACAAGCAAATCATTTTTTGGTCTTTTTTTTATTAACTTGGATATCCAACCCGCTATGCGAGCCGACTAATCTCAGGGCGATCACCTGCTTTGCAGATAGCCTAGAGTCACCGCAATTGAACCTCCGTGGCCACAAGGGGATTTTTATTTCTCCTCAGATTTGAACCTGAGACCTCCTGGTACTTCTGATCTTTGGAGTCAAACTCAAACCATTCAGGCACCAACCTTGTGGTTCATTTTTTGGTCTTGAAACATGAGATTTTGGGATAGGTGATTTTTATTCTTTTAGAATAACTGTATGCCTACGAAAAATACCAGTTTATGCATTTTTCTAGTTTAATTGATTCAACGGATATGGTTTCGTAAGAGGTGACGAGTAGTTTTGACGATCAGAATGGTCCTTCAATATTGTACCAATTCTTTTAGCGGGACCTATGTATTGACTTTTATGTGGAGGGTAGTGAGTGTCGACAATTAGAAGGGTCCTGAAAGAAGTGGAAGACGAATGTCGCTATTTCTCGTCATTTTCTTGCTAGCGTGTTCTTTATGATGCTCAGATTCTTGATAACGTTGTACATTGTTATAATTGAGTTTATATGTCGATAAAATTAGATTCTTTATATGCACCCAATTATTACGTTTTGGTCTATATCATCTAATGTCATTCTTGATTATTACTCCATTCAAATGTCTGCAATGAAAATGACACACGATTTTTAAAATGTGTAATTATTACCATTTTTAAATAACCAAATGACACTTTTACCCTTGATAATAGATAAATGAACTTTCTCCATCTCATAATTAAGATAAAATGGGAAAGTGGTCATTTATTTTGAGACAAGCTAAAATAGAAATGTGGACAATTGCTTTGGAACGGAGAGAATATTAATGATTGGTTGCCAATTGTACTTCTATTTATATTTTATTTTATTTTAAATTAAATGTGTATGGCGTGCCCTCGATCACTGGAGTTTCTGAATCTGCTACCGGGTTTTTTTTATGCTATCTCTTGATACAAGGCTTCTCCCATCTATATTTTCTCATTTAAATTCGTGTAATTTTTACGTATTTTTTATTTAGCTTTTGAAATAGGAAGCAATTCAAGGCTGTAGGTAACCAATTTCTAAAAGTTCAGTGGTCCATTTACTCAAAATAAAAGAGTTCAAATGGTTTATTTATTAAAAAAAAGATCTAGGAACTCAATCATTTAAAATGAAAGTTTATTAAGCTTTCAAGACTTAAGGGCCATTTACTAAATACTTACCCGGTAAGTATGGATCGGGTAACTTTCCTCACTCGATGCACATGGCAAGAGCTGAAAATCTTACCCGGTAAGAGTGATGATAGGGATAGAGGGTCTTACCCGGTAAGTGATGGTGAAGACTCTTACCCATGTAAGCATTTACCGGGTAAATTGTTGCATACAATATCGTTCTAATATACTACAATCTTATCTGGTAAAATAGATTATAGTGTTGACTCATACCGGTAAAACGCTTATCGGGTAAGTATTTGGGTAATAGCCATCTTTCAACACAGGAGTTTCAACGGTGTGTTTAATTAAGCCCGCTTCATACTAAAAAACTATCTACACTCGTTTTTGTTTATTATTTACATCTGCATCACCAAATGTTGATATTTATTATTTTAAAGTATATATTTTTCTATTTTACATAAGAAATTATTTGTGGAAGATACAAATAAACACTTCAGGAAGGTCACAAATATATATATTTTAGACGAAGTTTTAAGTACAAGTCTTTAAGCATAAGTTACAATCATTTTATGTAAGATTTTCAAAGAACTCTTAAAGACAAGTCACGAAGCACAATGTACAACCATTTTATACATAAAGTTCAAAAAAAACTATGAATCACAACTAATAAAGTATAATGTACAACCACCAACACCACCAAAGATGAAACTTTGAGTTTGCTTTTGGTGTAAATCGAACACATTTGTGGAGTCGTTTAAATATATTGGATTTTAAACTGTCATACAATTTTTTTCATCAATATACTGTAATTGGAATCATAACTCTTATTTATACAAATTGTATTAATATGTAAAGACCAAATTAACTTGTATCATCGTTAAATATTCTCTAATAAAATCAGTGAAACTTTAAAATCGTTAAAATTCACGGCTCCCGCCGCATTGCACGAATACACAACTAGTATATATATATATATATATGTGTGTGTGTGTGTGTGTGTGTGAGAGAGAGAGAGAGAATTACTTCCTATTGGTTTTAATTTGAACTTGTTTCTTTATTGCTGTAAACTTCAAAAACATCCGAAATTAAGCTTGTTTGTTGGATTTTGGTGTTATAGTTGTAATTTAACGGCTTTAAAAATAAGCACAAATACAACAACACTGTTGTTCTATAATTTAACGGATTTTTTTGTAAAAGTAGATTGTTATTTCATGTATTTAAACACTACTGAATAAACCAATTTGACTCGGCACAGGCCCAAATGGCAACACGCTAAAACCAATTTTATGTACGCAGATTTATCATCTATCTTAAAGAATAGAACGGTTACATATATCGTATATAAATATTATATACTTAAAAAAGAACAATTCAGTTGTTTCATGAATACCCAACTTAGAAGAATGCATGAAATCAACTGTTAGATTTCTGATACCATCAAAACAAAAGCATGTACAGAAACATCTACAAATTCAAGATAAATTCAAGAAATCAGAAAAGCAATTCATCAGAAGAAACCCGACACCGGAAACTGAAATCCAAACGCCACATCAGCGATATTCAACCGGAACTAAATGCTACAACAAATAATTTCTAAAAATATCAGAAAACAACACAGAAATACAAGCCATAGTTCATGTGGAGGATTGAGCTTTCTTTATGCAGACATCTAGAGACAGAATCCCACAGTAACCAGAAAACTCAGACGGGACTGTTAAATAATTCTTTCTGGGGTTATGTTCCGACCACTTTGCGTATATTTCTGGTACAGATTGCAACGACACAGATGTCTCCATGCTTTTAGCACTCAGTTGATAAATGAAAGCGGTTTTTAACAAGCTTGTGCCCACACAATCCACATTAAAAGATCGTGCACGTTCTTGAACTTCATGATTCAGAATAAATATGACACTTTCGTGCTGTTCTTGAAGAAGAACATGCTTCTGATGTGTTTCTACACGAAGGGTGAAGGTGGTGTTGTAGGTGAAACGGGTGGTGGAAGCTGCATGCTGGATGCCAAAGTGGAGGTAGAGGTTTTTGGAAGAAGCGGCAAATGGGCATGATGGGTGGGGGCAAAAACAGGTGGCATGGGGGCAACTTTGTTCATGCTCGCCCTTCTTGCTGTAAGGCATCATCTCTTTGCAACCATACCGAGAATTTTTGCACGACACTCGGATTGATTCGATCACCTTTTCAATAGCTCGGCAACGGTTGTAGCCAATTGGCATGCAGCAAGAAGGGCATTTTCTCTTCACCTTGGAGCAGCATGTGGAGCACGCTATATGGCCATTCTCACACTGCAATGCCAGAAAAACAGAAAATATGAAGGTTTCTTTTAACAAACTGATGACATAATTCTCAAATCCACTATCTACTATTTTATTCGATAACGCTTGAAGATCCAAGTCTCCCACCCTCCAATAAAGAGAGCACGCAACTAGCAGATTATGAAATAATCTCTTCAATTGAGCCCATACGGGTGCATTCGATATGCAAACAGGACTGGACTGGATGGGCGAGAGTGAAATAGGTGGGTGAAAGAACGGGAAGGTTTTAGGTTTTTAATTTGATATGGGTAGTTTAGTAATTTACAAATATTGTCCCATCTCCTTCACTTTTGTTCCAGCTATTTTGGTGAGACAAAAAAACATATTCCTGTCCCACTCAGCCCAGTCCTGTCGTAGTACATTGTAGCAACAAACACGAGATAATATGTTTTTGTTCTATCCTATGCCGACCTGCCCCATGTATCAAACACATCTTTAGGGTGCATTTGGTACATAGGACAAGACAGGACAGTCAACAGAACAGAACATGGATCACTTTTCCACATTTGGCAGGACTTTTATGTGGAACAAAGTGGAACAAGCATGTTCCACCCCTGCTCCATGGAACAAGGTGAAACAGGCTTATATGTTACCAATATAACCTCAAAAATAAAACTCGATTCCGTAAGGGTAAATTGGTCATTTTATGTGCTTTACCAATTTTTATTTTATCATAATTTAATAAATTACATAAATTAATCAAAATATATAAACAACTCATTAAGGGTAAATTAGTCATTTTATCTGTTCTGTCCTAGTCCCATCCACAACTGCTCTGTCATGCTCTTTTCCGTCTTGTCCTATCTTATCTAGATACTAAACGCACCTTTATGGAACTTTCTAAATGCAATGCATGCATTCACACAACTAGCAGCTTATGGTTTTTGTGCCTTTGATATTGATATAAGAAAGGTAATAAAACAAATCAAACCTAATATAATAGGCGTTAAACAAAGTTTTTGTTAGTTCTAGTGTAAACATCTATTCATTCGAAGGTAGGAAAGATATCACAACATTTTTTCCCATTCCTGTCAACTAGTACATAATGCATTTTAACTTCATACTATAATGTTCAACATTTGGAAGAAAACACCCATATTGGAGCGTTGCAAGAAAAAGAGAAAGGATTTCCCCACATTCGGCAGTGCTCAATTAGCTATAGACAACACACCCTGATATGCTCAAAAGCAACATACTTTTACTATCATTACATAAAAACAAGTTACCCCAATGATATATCAGCAGTAAGATTCACGTACACGACAAGGAAAGAGGAGGTCAAGGGTAGTTTAGTATATAGCATGATTCTGTTACAACAGAATAAGTCATAAAACTGACGGATAATCAATAATGTGCTTAGAAAATCCCTAGAAGTGATGACATGGTTGTGGATCTAAAAGAATAAACAGATTATCCCATGGAAAAGACTCGCTGTTGGTGACACCAGAGCGTTAAAGAAGATATAGACCATACTTCATTTGGATCCTCAACTAATAATAAAAATCATCGACACAAACGTATGGCACTGCAAATCTAACCACCTTGATGCCTCAGCGCTGTCCGGTGACAGAAGCAAGATTCTTTGATTTAGAGGTTGTTTGTTTACCTCTTAATAGTTCCATAGAGGCAGTCTCTGAATCGTTAAAAGGTGAATCTTGTTTGGCAAAAAAAAGTTTGCCTCTTAATGGTTCTAAAACCCTGTGAATGATTTTGTATCATGGGCCTCCCTTAACCATTAAGCACCCTAATTTCATTGTAAACAATTACCAAACAATTATATTTCATTTTGCACTCTATCATGAGAGCCTCTTAATCATTCTAATCAATTAATCATTCTGCACCAAACCATTCAGCAACTGCCAAACGACCCCTTAGACAAACAGGAAGCTAAACTAAACCGTAAGGTATGGTAAGTTTGTCCAATGGCCACTTAATTTGTGGAGGATCATGAGTGTCTCAACCTATGCTGTTACCACGGTCAAAATACAAAATAGCAGTGTAATAGTTGTTATCGTGGTGGTATAGCGGCCCAAAAATAGCGGTTCATATAATATTTCTTAGAATTATATACATAATAATAACATATTATATGCATTAACTAAAAATATAGTTTCAACCTCAAAACATCAACTTAAACAAGTTTCACAAAACAAAATAGGAAAAGTGTTCATAAACGATAATAGAAAACTCGAACAGTGTCGAACAAGGTTGATTATCGAAGAAGGTTGACTGTCGGCGATGATAGAAAGAAATTGAAAACCTAAGATTCTAAGAATTTCTAAACCGAGTGTTGGATGATATTGGTTGACTGTTAATGGATTAAAACAAAATAAGGGCCCAAATCAAAATACAAGCCAAAAAAGACAAAAATATAAGCATTAGAGTAAAAGAGACCTAACTGAGAATATTGGTATTGCGGACCGCTATTTACCTCAAATATCAAGTGAAATAGCGGTAAATTGTGCCGCTATTATCGAAACCGCAATTCCCACCGCTGTTTTAACACCACTATTTTGCTTATGACAGATAACCGATATTGCGCTGCAATTAACAGCATATGCCTCAACAGCTAAGCAAAGGGGTAGAAGCTGTCATCATTTTGAGCAAGAGTGCCGGAGAATTGGAGTCTATAAACATGCAAGCTGATGATTACCGAAGGTATCAGATGGATCAGAATTCGACCAAAAAGAATACAACATGCAGAGCATTCTCTTTTCCGTGCTTAGATAAACAACTAAAGGGAATATCACTGAAGGGCTGTGCAAATCTTAATGTCTTGGATAAGGCTTAAAAGTGTCATCATTGAGATACATGTTAGCTTTGTGGATGGATACATACAGATACATTTTCTGTCCTTATCAACACCTATTGTATTACCCGAATGGCCAATCCAGTTTCGTGAACCGATTGATTCTGATCAAACTTCACTTTGGCTGGAAAAAGTTTGGCTAACAAAAAGGCTCCTAAGTCCTAAGAACACTTTAACCTCTTAGTGTGTAGTGATAGATGGCATTTCCCTAACCATGCACAACCTTGCACTCCCTGTGGTGGCCATTTGGTGGCATACTGAAAGTTTAACCATTGGCATGTTATGTACTACTTGAAATCTTGATTTATTTCTCAAACTATTGGTAGCAGCTAAAGAGTAATCATCCACACACATGAACCAGTAGATCATCACACATCAAACACAGTGCAATTGCATCATTTCTATGTTAGAATTTAAGAACAATTCAATTAGAAGATCTCTACAACATAAAAAGAGGGACTGAATACCTGGAAAACAGGGGTGCACAATGGATCAAGGCAAATCGGGCAATCCAATACGTCTGGATCGGTCAGCACCACCTGTAATGCCCCAATTGCATTGTTAAACACAGGGGAAACAGTATTACAGTTCCTCAGCCCAACGGCGAGATTCCCTAACCCCAGGTGTGACGAAGCCGCCATAGAAGAAGTCATCTGTTGCTGATGAATTTGTCCCTCCGATACTGCTTCTCCCTCGGCATGACCACCGCTATCATCCTCGCTTCCAACTTCCCCCTCCCCCTCAAACTCATCATCCTCGTCCTCTTCTTCAAACCCTTGCGAATCCGATTCTACATCCTCAATCGGAGACATCGGAAACAAGTCATCTTCCTCTTCCTCATCCTCCTCCACCGCCACGACTCGCGATTCCGATCTCTGAACCGATCTTTGCCGCTGAGATCGCGGTTGCGATTGAGACGCCGGTTCGGAGAATCTTGCCCGTTTATTGGCAAGTGGAGCATCTTCGTCGTCTTCGCCAATAGAGAATCTTGCCATCGGAATCCTCCTTTCAATTCTGCCAATGTTTCGACCCGTTGTGTCCATCGATCTTGAGGGCTGATAGTATATCTGGATTTTTCACAAACACCCACGTCATTTTACACGCAATTTTACCCTAATTTACCTAATTCCATTGATTTCGATATGGAAAGTTCTAGGGTTTTAAATATAATTTTTAGGGTTCTCTCCAAAAATACATGTGTTCTTCCCCAATTAAATACACATAATAAAAATGATAAGCCCCATAAAATAAAAACAAACGATCGTTGATTTAAATAATGTTTTAAGATATGTATTTTAAATAATTTATATGAATTTTTATATTTTAAAACATGAATATATCATTGAATTTACTGAAAGACCGAGTAGAAATAAAAAAATAAAAAAACATACCAATGAAGAGTCGTAAACAACTATTGATTCTGGAATATAAAGCAGAGAAGTATTTGTCGGACAACGGCAAGGCATGATGAAGTATGTTTTTTAAGATGGTATTGAGATCGCAGCTTGCACTTCTGTGTTTTTTGGTTTTGTGAATCTGTAGTTTTTCACGTGATCGACACTCTTTTTTATAGCGAGTCTGCTGTAAATGGTAACGTTGAAATTCGAAAGATATTTCAAATTCCAACGGTCATATGGTAAATGGGCGTGTTACAATTTTCAAAATTTTAAATTTCAAATGACGGTGTATAGATGTGAAATTTACTACTGAGTTAGGTTTTAGATTTTGTAAACGTTAATGTCTGACTTAAATTTTGAAATTTATAATGAAACTACATCTTGGGGTAAATCCATCTCATATATCATTTCGTTTTGAAATTAACAAAAACTATTAGGGGGTGTTTGGTTCGTAGAATGAAATTCAATGGAATTGGAATTCATCAAATGAATTTGACTTTGGGGGAATGAAATGGAATCTGATGGAATTTGACCATGGCTTGTGATTGCGTTTGGTTGCATAGAATTGGAATTGAATTCTTAACGGAATTGGGATTTTTTTTGTTTGGTTCACGAAATTCAACTTTGGAATCGAAAATTAAATATCAACAAATGACCTTTTATGATTTTGTTGTCATTTTTAAAAAAAATTAAAATTACCATTAAACCAAATTACATTATTAACATCAGATAAAATTTGAAATTGTTCACTTATATTACTGATATCTGAAATTTGGACGAGGGCTAAGGAATTCGTAGGAAATGAATTTGAAATCCTTGGTACATCAAGTGGAATTGTGAAATCGGTGACCGAATGAATTTGTAGGAATTGAAAAGATTCTTTCGCTTATAATCTGTGAACCAAACATCATATTTGGAATTTGGTCAAAGGATTGAACATTCCAATTCCTTTCAATTCCACAAAATTGCTATGATCCAAAGAGACCCTTAGTGTACAACTAGTGGGTACTTGGCTCAGTCTTTAAGGGATTGTTTACCAAACACTTACCCGATAAATGCTTACTTTAATGGATATATTATACTATTTAATGGATATTAAAAATTTACTATTTTAATATTAGTATATTAAAATATACAATATTTTAATACTATATGGATTAAAATAGTATAATATTATACTATTTTAATATACTAGTACAATATTTTATAGTATAATATTTTAATACTATATGGATTTGGTGCAAAAATGGCAAGTATTCAACATGATCGTCTTCATCAGCTACCCTTGGACTTAACTGGGCTAACGGAACTTTTTTGATTTTGTTAGAGAGAGGGACTCATTAGGTGTGAAAAATGCGTATCAGGTACCATCTTTGTATTTAGTTTAATTTTGGGATCTTTATGGGTAGAAAGTGTAAATCATAGGGACCAAATCAGTAACTTACTCTATCATAAGATATAACTTTATCTTTTAGTTGAAAATTAAAGAAAAGACAAAAATGCCCCTGAATTAAACGGACTCTTTTAACAATGGTTAGCCGGAGGAACTAAAAGTAAAGCAAAATGACAATTACAATGACTAAAATTGTAATTGGTTCAAAAGAGAAACGAGAGTTACTAGCGGATTATAATTACATAGACCCAAAGTGTAAGTTGCCGTTTACTAGATGCTTACCCGGTAAGTACTTACCGGGTAATTTTCCTCACCGGATGAACATATCAAGGGCCACGAATCTTACTCGGTAGGAGCGATGATAAGGATAAAGAGTCTTACCCGGTAAGTGAAAGTGACGACTATTATCCGGGTAAACGTTTACCAAGTAAATTGTTACATAGACTACGTTTTAATATGCTACAATCTTACCCAATAAAATAAATTATAATATTGATTTCTACCGTTAAACACTTACCGGGTAAACATTCGATAATTAATTTGCGAAACATAATACGTTGTTAATCAGTCCTGAGATATTGAATGACGATGGTTCCTTGAGGCCTTAAACATCATCATCAATCCAAAGAACAAATAGTAGCAAATAAAACACACCACGCAACGCAAGTCGCAGAGAACCAACACACCACGCAACGCAGGTCGCAGAGGAGGTAGGGAGATATGGAGGGTTGTGTAACATCGGCGTTTACATCAACACCAGCAGTAGTATACCCACAAACCTTCTTCCTCCAAAACCCTAACACCCATTTATTATCACACAACACCTGTAATAATAGCAGAAGGAGTAAAACCAGACCTTCATTATCCGTTAAAGCTTCTTCTTCATTCAAAACTCACACTTTGTCGAGTAATTGGGATGTACCCACATCCAATTATTCTGCTTCAGCTCCATCTTGGATGCCTAGATTCGAAGAACTCGATACCACCAACATGCTTCTTCGTCAACGCATCGTTTTCTTGGGATCCCAGGTTTGGTTAAACACACTCGAATCTCTTTAGGTTTTGCGTATGTAATGATAAAATTAGTCGAATTGATTGGTGGGTTTTTTATTTTGTTCAATTTGGTGGCTTAATTTTTGAGATAACACACACTTAGCCGTATAGAGATTTCCCCCCTCTTAGACTGCACTTTTTAGTACATTCTGCTTCTCTTTCTGCTCTCATATTACTAATTCGTTGAATCTGTTGATGGGGTTTTGTTTTTGTGCAATTTGGTGGGTTAGGTTTTTGAGATTACACACATACTTAGCTGTAGAGAATTGCTTCCTGTTAGACATGTGGTCTGTAGCAAATTATCTCTCTTTTTTCTGTGCATATATCAATCAATTTGTTGATTTCCTGATGGGTTTTTGTTTTTGTTCAATTTTGTGGCTTAATTTGTTAAATTACAATCCTTCAGCCATATAATGACTCCCTCTTCCCTCTTTTCAGACCAGCGCTTTTGTAGCACATTCTATATGCCATTTTCTTGATGCAATTTAATCCTCATTCTTCCACTAAAGTCTAAAGCTACTCAGAACTCACGAATCAATGGCGAGTCTAATTTTCAATCTCATAATTTCTGAGAGTTGTTCTTCAATCTAACTCTCCAAACTATTGAGGTGATGCTAAGCCATTGATTCGTTAGTCCTGAGTATCTTTAGTTTCTGCCAAGAAGATTAAATTGCATCATCTCTCTGCCTATATCCATCAATTCGTTATATTTCTTGATGGAGTTTTGCAATTTGGTGGCTTATAATTTGAGATTACACGCGCACTTAGACGAATTGTAACTTTCCCTTGTTATACCACCACACTATATCTATCTCTTCTGGTTCCTATCAATAAATTAGTTAAATTTCAAGATGGGTTTTTGTTTTTGTTTATTCTGGTGGCTTGAACATTCAGATCACGCAACACACTTTGCAGACATCTCCCTTTTTAAGACCAGCATTTTGTAGCACGTTCTTTCTCTCATATAAGTCAATCATTTTGGTGGCTTAACGTTGGGCATTAAAACACCCATAAAAATATAGAGACTTCCTCTCATTGAGATAGTATTTTGTAGCACTTTCTATCCCTCTTTTGTGCTCCCATATCAATTAATTCATCGGGTTTCTTTGTAGATTCTAGATTTTGATCATTTCGGTGGCTTAATTTTTGAATTCACTCACTTAACCTTCATGGGCATTGAATTTCTTGGTGGGTTTTCTGTAATCAAATGGCTGCTTTTTTTAGATTACAATCACTCATATTGAGACTCCCCCTGGTTAAAAACCTTATTTTCCTACATTTTCTCTCTTTTTCCAGATATATTAATCAACTCATCTAACTTCTTGATAGGTTTTGTCTATTTTATCGGTTCAGTGACTTATTTTCAGTTCATTTATATCACCTTCCTTCATTCTAAATTTGTTGGTCTCAATTCCATTCAGTATATTGGATCCAAGATCACATCTTTTTCCCATACACCATAATGAACATGTTAAACGGCCAAGTTGGATGTAGTCATAACCTTCTAGAACACGCTTTTACCAATGAGGAGATTTCCCATTTGAAACTAGCCCGTGATGCTTTCCTTTTAACCACCAATGTGATGATATGTGGAATTGATGATCCTGCTTTTATATGCTTATACGGTACAACTTTCTTTATAACACTTCTATCGCTTTAGTGGTTAATGGTGGGGAGGGGGGGGGGGTGTTGGGGTGATGATGTAATTAGTAGATGTATCACACGAAATATCAGTAGATTTGTAAAAATTGATGATTATATTTAAATAATCGTGCGGTTTCTAGGGATTAGAGTTGTGGGTAATTCAATATCACGTATATTTTGTATATTTACTGCATAATTTCTATTTGGCAACATAAGTTTCTCTTTTATTAAGTAAATATAAAGAGGATGGAACTATGCAGGTGGACGATATGTCAGCTGATTTCATAATCAGCCAATTGTTATTTCTCGATGCAGAAGATGACAAGAAAGATATAAAACTGTTCATCAATTCACCTGGTGGTTCTGTTACTGCTGGTATGCTTATGACATGCTTTTATTTAACTACCTTTCTTGATTTTTTGGTGATTAACCCTTAAATTACAAGCTCAATCACAACATATTTCAATATGATTAACGGAAAGATTCCTCGCTTAAGGTCGTTTAACAGTAGACCCAGTGTATCTCACCCGAAGATCTGACATCTATTATAGGTCAAGTCAAATGTAGTGATTTTCATATTGGTAAATTTACTTCACTATTTGATGATGCATGTAGGAATGGGGATATACGATGCCATGAAGCTATGCAAGGCTGATATTTCCACCATTTGTGTTGGTCTCGCTGCATCCATGGGTGCGTTTCTTCTAGCTTGTGGTTCCAAAGGGAAGAGATTCTGTATGCCTAATGCTAAGGTCATGATCCATCAACCACTTGGAAAGGCCGGAGGAAATGTAAGTCGGTTTCGTCTGTTTATTAATACTACTCTTTCTTTTCATATGTCAAAAAATAAATCTCATCTCACTCCGTGATTTGAGAGTACGAAGATATGGAGCAAGAGCGCTTTCATTTGATTCTCTTAACCAATTCTCTGGATGAGGGAGCAAGGGCATTTCTGACAATTCCACTAAATTAATTCGGAGTTTTTGCATTATCCCTTTCTCTTAAAATTAGAGTCCCTTTTGATAAATGAATGTCAAATTGGTGTTAGAAAGAAAGAAATTGACGGGTTTACCCTTATTATTTGAGCAAGAAGTTGATTATCAGCAACCCCAACTGCCTCACATGTAACCCATCTATGAGGACACCAATGTGAGGGGGCATTTTTTGGCTCACTCAGCGGCTAAGGCTAGCGCCCAGGAGGTGTCAAACCCTGTAAACGGTACTAGTTTGCCCTTATGTAAACGGGGTAACCCTAAAGACTAATAAGGGCTATTTTTTTTAAACTGTGTATCTGACATCTTTGACTCAACTAGTGTGTGGGTGCCCCAACATGCCGTGTCTTGATGAACCGGGACAATTTTAGGCATTTTGGCTAATGGGCATGGCCCTCAAAGAAATTGATAGCACCTAGTGGGAATCGAACTTGGGTTCTCATGCCACATTGGACACGATACCTAGGGTAGTAAGGGCCAAGTTTATCCTTAAAATGGTGTTGTCCAAATCAAGCCAAACAAACCCAATATATCCCGCTCAAAAGTAGGGTCTAAGAGTGGTAGGATGTACATAGACCTTACCTCAACTACTAGGATCCAGAGAGGCTATTTCCATGAAGACCCCTGGCTTGTGCACAAAAGAAAGGTGTGCCAAGCAGACAATAAGATAGGTAATATAATAGGTAATTGGGATATATTATATATATAATATATATATATATATATATGTATGTATGTATGTAAAAGTATTATTCGCTCTACTGTTTGGGATATACCGGATTTGTTTGGTTTGTTATATTGGCCTCACATCGAGTTTCCCACATGCATTTCGTATATTTTCAACTTGTATCAAAGTCTCACACAACTTTTTCTATATTCAGGCAACAGATATGAGCATAAGAATAAGAGAAATGGTGTACCACAAGGTTAAGGTGAACAAAATAATATCGAAAGTCTCGGGAACTCCTTACGAGAAGGTTAATTATTTCACCAACCTCCGCTTTATTTCCATTTCGACATCATAAAACTTTCTCAGTAACATGGAAAACTCGCCTTTCGATCAGGTTGAAGCCGATACCGATCGCGATTATTTTATGAACGCATGGGAGGCAAAGGCGTACGGATTGGTTGATGAGGTGATTGATGACGGTAAGCCCGGTTTAGTTGCGCCGATTGCAGATAAGACACCGCCGCCCAGGACCCGTGTGTGGGATTTGTGGAAAGTGGAGGGGAGCCGTAAGGCGATGAAGAATATGCCGTCGGAGGACAAGATGTTGCAGAATGGACACATTGGTGGTGAAGAAGATGAAGATGAAGAGAAAAAAGAAGAACCTGCTTCTGCCTGAGAATCATGGTTACATTGAAGGTTTTTATATAATGGTGCAAATGTAACACTAGATGGTTTTTGATTCAAGTTATGATTCTATTTGATTAACCTTTTTTATTTTGTAGCTGTTACAACTCGTTTTACATGGATATAAAATGGGATATGTGAGCTTCTTATAAGATTCAAGCTGTGGGTTACCAATAACTTTTACTATGATTTTAAGTTGTATTCAATTATTAGGTCAACCTTTTGCTTTGGGTATTATTATAGTAGCATTTCTATTTTGTCCAGGGACGTTTCAATCTTTTTAGAGGCTATGTTATACCTAAAACCTTTGATTACACTGTAAAATGAGATGATAAAATACATATACAGAAGCGATGATGAAGCGTATTGCTTTTGATTACATTATAAAATGAGATAACAATTAACAAAGATATACATACATACATGTATATATACACATATGTATCTATACATACATACATATCTATACTAAATACGTACATACATATCTATACTAAATACATACATACGCATATGTGTACACATACACATACGCATATGTGTACACATACACATACATACATACGTATATGTATACACATACACATACACATACACATACATACGTATACATACATACATACATACATACATACATACATACATACATACATGCATACGTATATGTATACACATACACATACATACATACGTATACATACATGCATGCATGTATGCATACATACATACATACATGCATACATAAATTACAGAAGCAATGATGACACGTATTGCTTTTGTCTTCTGAGATTGAAATTAGAGAGCAACAAGGTGAACTAAAATTTTATATTCATTGATTAAAGGCCCCAAACAATGTAAAATTGGCCCTAAAATTTTAGGGACCCTGTTCAAAATCACATATTTAGCATGCTGAAGAACGACCTGACACTTTTGGGTAGAGTTTTTTTGGGTTATTTAGGTGAAGTTTATATGAATGACTTTATGACCAAGGGGTCGTTTATCAAACACTTACCCGCGTAAGTACTTATCAAGTCACATTACCTTACCGGATGAATATGACAAGGACCAAGAATCTTACCCGGTAAGAGCGAAGCAAAGACCGAGAGTCTTACCTGATAAGTGAGGACGATAACTTTTACCACGTTTAACGCTTACCGAGCATACAATGCCTTTTTGGTATTTTGATTTCGAACAATTTTTAGTGGAAATTGTATATTTATGTAATTTTGCCGAAAGTTAGGTTTTTTGTTACTATTTGTACTTTCAAAATTATGAATTGCAATTTAGGTTATTTATAAATTCTAAAACCAAATTCTACAGACGGAAATATCGGTCCATCATTCATTGGAAAATATAACAATAAGGGTGGTGCCTGATTGGTTTGAGCTTGACTTCAAAAATCAAAAGTACCAGTAGGTCCCAGGTTCAAATCCAAGGAGGAATAAAAATCCCTTTGTGGTCACAGAGGTTCAAATTGGACGTTCTTAGTTTACGGAGCTTTTCCGAGGGAATATGTCATCGAAAATATTTTAAAATTTATCTAGTCTTCCATCAAATAAACGCTAAATGCATTCGATGTTGTCTAATTTATTATCGATCTTGAATTACTATTATGATGCTTTCTCACACATCCGTTCCATCATTTTATCATATAACGGTTGGCTCCTTCATAAGTGTTTCCCATATTTTGAGACGGTAACGAAAAACATGTTTTTATAATCATGTATATTCGGGTCAGTTTGTGAGCATATCCCGATAGGTCTAACGGAATCATGAACTCAACAGCCGGAAAAGCGTCTAGTTACGAGTCTTCACGTTGCGGTTTGTGGTTCACATATGTGGTTTGGGCATTTTTTCAAACCGCACTGCATAAACCTCAAACCGCAAAAAAACCACACTGCGTGTACGATTTGCTACCTCTTGCATTTTATGTTTACAATCCAATAATTATAAGTTTGAAAATACATTATAATATCAACGATAACGTGACCATAATTCAAAAAAAATAAAGAGTTTCAATACGCCCAATTCCCAAATACATATTCTATAATAAAAAAAATAGTCTAAGAAGTAAAAAAATAGACTTCCAATTCAAAGTCAAATTCCTTCAACATATTCCATTCTATCCAAAAATATTCTGCGAACCAAATGTCACCTAAGTGATAATATTGAATTTTACCGGTAAACACTTACCGGGTAAGTGTTTGGTAAACGACCCCTAATTTTTCTTTTTGGAGGTGGTCGATCCTAGGTTTCGTTTAGACTAATTCTATGGCAAGTCGTAAGTGGAAGGCTTTGTCAACAACCGTGAGATAAATCTTTCAGTGGCCATAAACATATATACAGATGGTATAGTTCAAACCGAGTTGATTTTATCATCCCATTTTATTTGTGAAAATGTTCAAAATGAAAACAAAGAATGAGGAGACAATAGGTTTTCTATACAGCGCTTTGAAGTCTGAAGAGTTTTATTTCCGAGTTATTTCAAGAGAACAAGTCTGAAGTCATTCTTCAGAGTTAGCTCACCCGAACTCAGGAGTCTTCTTTTTCAACTTAGCTCACCCGAACTCTAAAGTCCGACTCTTAGTTTTTAATTTCAGATATATTATATTTCAAAAAAAATTGCAATAAAAAACTTGAATATATGACCTCACATATAAAAAAACAAACTAACCAACAGAGCAATGATAATTGAAAATTCCAACACTTTTGATGCTTTAAGATCAACTGTGATTCTTGCTTATTGTTATGTTTATCCGATGAGAAAAATTGTCCAATAAGTACTTACCGGATAAACATTTAGTAAATGGTCCATAAATGGTTATTTGGATGTGTATTTTATACAAAATTGTTTTGATATTTAATAATCAAAATTAAGGATATTACATGATTTTAAGTTGTAATAATAAAAACCAATAATCTATTAAAATCCGTTAATTCAATTACAATGCAAACTTCTTTTCAGATCTCGTATCGATATTAATCTGTACTACTTTATAAACAAATTTATCAAAAGTCTTAAAAACAATTTTTAATGCACAAAGTACTATACATTTATGCACAAAGTCTTAAAAGTCTTAAAAATAACTCATAATGCATTAAGTACTACTACTTTATGCATTCAATCTTAAAATCTCTTAATCTACAATTAAAATAACATAAGTACAAGTTACCAATGCACATTATTATTATTTTTTTTTCCTATTCCAAGATACTTTTGACATCTTTCACTCATGACTTCACTCTCTAATACCTCTATGTCTTCTCCCCATTCTCCAAGGTGAGATTCAAACTGATATTCACCATGAGTTATTAAAAGTTCTCTCATTTATCTCCTCTTCAATTGCTCTAAAACTCTCGGTCTCGCTCTCGATCTCTTGCTTCTTTGGTCTTCGTGTAAATCGAACACATTTGTGAAGTCATTTAAATATGTTGGATTTTAAATATATTGGATTTTAAACTGTCACACAATTTTTTTTTATCGATAGACTGTAATTGGAACCATAACTCTTATTTATTCAAATTGTATTAATATGTAAAGACCAAATGTAACTTATATCATCGTTAAATATTTAATAAAACCAGTGAAACTTTAAAATCGTTAAAATTCACGGCTCTCGCTGCATTACGCGAGTACACAACTAGTACTTCCTAGAGAAGGTGTATTTTAAGTTCTTAATTTATTGGACACATATTTACCGAAACAACTTGCTTATTATTGAAACACTCGCCCTCGGTAGAATGGGCAAATTGGTAATTTCAGTTACCCAAGTGGTTGTTTGTTTATATGCATGATGGAATTTTGTTGACATATTCACATGTTTCCTTTTCGATTTGATGGCTTGCCATATTATGTACGTAGGTTTTGGGTTCATGTGTGACCAGTCTGTTGTCGTGAGACTCGTGAGACCATTTTTTTTACACTTGAAACTTTACAGCAAAACGTTGTAAATGTAAAAAAAAACCGAATTTTCACAACAAAAACACTATGAAGGTTGCCTTCACAGCGTTTTGCTGTGAAGTTTTAAGTGTAAAAAAGTGGTCTCACGGATCTTACAAAAACAGACTGATCTTACGTGATCCCAAATCTATATATGTATGTCAACATAGGCTATTTTTGACCTATATATTTAGTAGTTGACTTCATATATAACATATGATTTCACACTAGACTTTAATTCTTTATCCATTTTGTAGTCGTATTTATCCGGACTTTGACATATAACACAAAATTTACATGTGAATATCTTGTATTAGTTTATGTAATCATTTTGTGTTGACTTAACCCACACCCACTATTCCATGTGAATATGTGCTTTATTGATCATTTTAACAAAATGAATATTAATTAAATATTTAGTTAATTTTTATTTTACATGAAGACAAATTGCATGAAAAAGTAATGTACTTTAACTTGATTCATATTTTAAGTAACGTACTTTCAAAACTTCCGTTTTGATACCTAAGATGTAAAGTTTTAAATATTTAAGTATCCAGGTAACAACTTTAAGCATTAACCGTTATCATGCTGATGTGACGAAATGCTTCAGCAAGTAATACTGAGATGGACGCCACATCAGCATGGTAACCAGTTAATATTTCAACAGGTTACTGAGATACTTAAATGTTTAAAACTTTACACCTTAGGTACCAAAATGGAAGTTTTAAAAATATTTTACTCAAAATAAGAATCAAGTTAAAGTACGTTATTTTTCCATACAATTTACCCTTTAGATAACATACTTTTAAATTACACATCACTTTTATATACTTTGCTCTTAATCATTCTATCTCAACATGTATACCATACTATTCACTTGTGAATATAGAGTTTATTCATTATAAAAAGATAAACACAATAAATAGGGTGAATGCACCTAAGATTGCAATATAAAAATATTATTTGTGCTCTCAATTAGGCATGAGTTATTTCCATAATGTGTGAAAAACTAGGGGACATTGATGTAACTTCATGATCCTATTAGATACTTGTCTTTTTGTATTGTTCTTTGATAGACATGTTAAAATAAGGGTTTCCATTTAAACCCTTAAAAATAAATCGAAAAACCGTAAAACGTAATAAATAGGAAAGAAAACGAATTACATGTTTTAAATAACGTCAATTAAACTATTCAACACATTACAATGATTGTAAAA